AGGCCTGACAATGAGACAAGAAAGCAATATGGGCATGCAAAGTTAGTGCAAGGCAAGTGTGAAAAACGCCAATCACTTGTTTTTAACATTTTAAAAGTTTAATAGTAATAAAATGGTTATAAAAATAGTAATATAATTAGAGTAATAATAATTTGGACAATTTGGATTAGGACAATATGAGACAATAGAAACAAAGAGTTACAGACAGTCCCAGGTACCTTTTCTGGGCAAAATAAGCCCGAAAAAGACCCACGTTAACAGAGGATTAACCCTTAAAAACAACACCCTGTTGCATATTCATACACCTCATACATGATGCATAAATTCCATTCAAACACAGGATTCTGTCTGGTCGGTGTCAGCTTCTTCCTATGAATCCTAACAGTGTCTCCATGGCTGAGTGAGGTGGGAGAGAGGAGGTTCTCTTCTGATAAGAGAACAATAAATTCTCTTTCTCTGAAAGATTTGGGTGTCCTGTGGCTGCTATCTCAGTGGGAGTCCTTTCTTTTAAAAAAGTATCTTACACAGCATAGTTTCTGTTTTAACATTATGTTATAACCTAAAACTGTATTTAACACACTACTTAAGAAAATTAATACAGCATAACTTTCTGACATAACACATATAATCTTCATTTTCATATTTGCGAAAAGCCAATCATAAAATTCGCGTTTTTCACACAAGGAAGAGTTAGAAGGACAGGCAAGGAAGCCAACTTGTCAACTTGGGTTGCCAGGACAAGGCAAGGCAAGTGGGGAAGTACACTGAAAGATTGCTCCCAGGCCAGGAACAGCTAGTCTGTCCAGCCTTGATCTCACACTGAAAACACTGGGGCTGCACATTTTCCTTCATATGCTAAAGAACTGTCATTCTGGTCCCAGAGCCCATGGGAAAAATGCGGATTTTTCCCTTTTGGTACTGTCCAAAATTCAGTACCTGCAAGCACTGGTCCCAGACAAAAACTGCCCAGAAAAATGGATCTGGCTTCACATGGTTCTCCTAAGGGTTTCCTCTCATGTGCTCCTGAAACACTGGGATATGAGAGATCCTTGAGGGTCCTGGGAGGAGCAGGTAGAGCAAGGGAAGGCTGGGAAAAGCTCAGAGAATAAAGGGATATTGAATTCCAGGTGGAGGAGGGATGAGCAAGATAGTGGAAGGCAAGGGAGGGCTTCAAAGGCAACTGCTGGGTGTGCAAGGCATGGCAGGGGAGAGGTGGTCAAAGCAAGGAGAGCCCTGGAAGGGAAGGAAAGGCAAGGCTGGACCCGGACAAATTGCAAGGAAAGTCAAAGTGGAGATGGGTGAGCAAGGCAGTGCAAGGCAGTGCAGAAAAGGAGGGCCAAGGAAAGGCTGCAGAGGGGGTAGGAAGGCAATTCAAGGTGTGGGGAAAGAAGGAAAAGGAAGCAGCTGCTGGAGGTTTTAAGCTTTTTGTTATCTGCAAGAGTGAAAGGCTCCACTGGTACCTTGAGGGAGGGTGAATATTTCAGAGTATGAGACACACCAGGTGCTGATGCCAGGATGATTTTTTGCCTCTTCTTTTATATATTTTTATATATCTTTTATGCATCCTCAGCACTCCTAGCATGCACACTTGTAGTTCCTTAAGTCTGATAACTCAGCACAGTACTGGTGTTCTGTTAGGCCAGGAGACCAAACATCCTGGAGGCCTCACAGGGCCAGAAAGGCCTAAGCTAGCTTGAGAAAACAAGATAGAATATATTCTGGAAACTAAAAATGTGGCCCATCCAGGGGGAAATTCCTCAGGATGGGAGGATATCACACCATTCATTCAAGCCTCTCATTGGGGCATCTTTGTTAGAAATGCTAATTTGTAAGGTCTATAAATTGTATACCTGATCTACTGTGTGCGTGCATTGCGGTGCATTCCACCTTATCAAAGTGGTGCACCACAAGAATCCCTATTAAAATACTGAGGTAAAAACCCTAAACCATGTCTGGCTCTTAACTTTTAGGACCAAGGAAAAGGCATCAGTGCAAGCCAGACTTTCCTTCCCATCTCTAGAACCTGTGGCCTTTGGGCACAGTCTGAGTCTAAACTAAAAGGTTTCCTACTACAGCTCTGTAGGGAAAGAATAAAAAGCAAAGAATGCTTCCCCATTGCCTCTTTGAAGATTGAAGTTGCCTCTGACAAAAACTTCAGAAAGTGCTTTGTTTTTTAGAAAATGAGGCTCCCTGTTGGAAGTTACTCCTAGAGCTTGTGGTTGATACACTAGGGTTGCTAACACCAGCAAGCTGACAGCAGGACACTGCTGATCCATTCAGCAAGCTAGCAGCAAACTTTCCATATATGAGGTGGAAAAGCTTCTGATATACCAAGTGAGCCAGCAGTAAATGTTTCCACACATCCAGTGAGCCACCTGTGAAGTGGACATGACAATTGCCACTCTCAAAACTCTCCCTCAGCAGTCTCCATTTGGATCCTGACCGTGAGACTGAAGGCTCAGGATGGTACCTAGAGCTGAGAAGGAAAGTGCAAATAACAGGGTGTGTGCTGGGAGTTTCATGGGTTCAGCTGAAATCAGCTGGCACTTTTGGGAGCTCTGTTTTTGCCAGGTGTGTTCAGGTTTGTAGAAGGACTCTGAGAGAGTGAAAAGCTTTGATAGAGGAAAGGAGCTTTTGTTGCTCTTTGAGTATGGTGCAAAGAGAGGTGAGAAACAAGTGCTCACTTTGAAAATGTAAAAAGGTTTATTAAACCTCAACTAAAATACAACAAAGGACTAAATAAGGAAAAATTTGCAGACCTAGGAACTGCCACTCATGAATACCACAAAGCCAGTTCCTCTTCAAGATGGGTGCTCAGTCTTTTATACCCCTGGGGTTGCATCAGCCAGCCCTGGCCTCTCCAAGGTCTGTCAGTCAGCTCTTCTTTGCCATTTATAGGTGCAGACTGCTTCCTTGTAGCGGGATTGGAGGGCAGCTGTTGCCATGCCTCACCCCCTGAGCACCAAGCTGCACATGTGTGCCTTGCATGGGGCAGGAGGAATGGAAGAGCTTGTCACTGGGGCAGGGCAACAGCTGCCCTCCAATCCAGTTACAAGAAAACAGTTTCCACCGATAAATGGCAAAGAAGAGCTGACTGACAGACCTTGGAGGGGCCAGGGCTGGCTGATGCAATCCCAGGGGTATAAAAGACTGAGCATCCATCTTGAAGATGAACTGGCCATGTGGTATCCATGAGTGGCAGTTCCTAGCTCTGCAAATTTTTCCTTATGTAGTCTTTTGTTGTATTTTTGTCAAGGTTTAATAAACCTCTTTAAATTGTCAAAGCGAGCAGTTGTTTCTCACAATGAAGGAGACAGAGGACTCCTGCACCTTTACTGGGATAATGGGAGCGAGTCCCCTGGGGCACAGCCCATGGGGGTTTCTCTCTCCCACAGGTTTCAGAGGCTGCTCGAAGGACTCTCACTGCTTAGAGTGACTCTGAGATGTGTCACAAAGTCTCTTTTCCCAGCCCAGCACTTGAAGAAGCAGTCAGGGCTCTTCATTTCTCAGTCTCAAGGTTGTTCATTGTTCCTTATCTATAAAATTCTTTCTCCTGCCCTGCCCAGGTCCATCCAGCAGGACAGTTCCAGGCATTCTGCCTGCCCCCAGGGCAGTGTTATGGCTTTATACTAAAAACTACGTGTGCAATGTTTACAATTACTTTCCAATACCTATCACCTGTGTTAGACAGTGAGCTTCTGTCTAGTGACTCTAAACCAATCTGTAAGTGCCACCATCAGAGCAGAAGATGGAGGCCAAGAAGAAGGAGGAGAAAGGCTGGACATGCCCAGATTCCTCCATCTTGCCCCCTGTAAGCCCCATTATAAAAACCCCCCAAAAAATCTATTTTTCACCTTGTGATAAAGTCACTATCATTCTACTTAAACTTTCATGGCTTTTAATTCTTCAATTACGGTTGGCATTTGTTTTTCCCAAGGGCTAAATCAAAGGCACAGGGGTCTGGGGCTCTGTGCCAAGGTCTCTGAGCCCCCTGGGCAGGGTCTCGAGTCCTCCAAGGCAGCCAGAGGGATTTCCTGGGTTCCCACAGGTGCAGCCTCTTTTATCCCAAATTCCCAGCCACATGCTGCCTTCCTCCTTCCCCGATTGGCTGGGGTACCAGGAAGGTGCAGCCTTCCCAAACCACCCATCCCATATCCCCCTTGAGCCTGGCATTTACCCCCAAAGTGCAGAAACACAGCCTTGTGCTGAGTCTGTTTCAGCAATCACTGTCTGGGCTCTGTAACAAACCTGGGGCTTGAAGTTGGTAAAGACAGTGACCCATTTCAGAGATGTTAATGTGAGAAATGGTTACTCAATTTTCATTATTTAGAAAGGTTTATTAAACCTTGCCAAAAACACAACAGAAGACTGAATAGAGAAAAAAGTTACAGCACCAGGAGCAGAGGATTTCTCCACCCTGTGATCACTCACACAATGGAGGTTTGGCCTTTTAACCCTTTAACACTCCCAAAGTTCTGTCCATGACCCCTTCTTCACTGTCCCGTGGTGGAGATCTCTTCCCAAATCCTGATTGGAGCTCAGATGTCACCACAGTGACAAGCCAGCCCTCCCAGCTGTCCCTTGATAGCCACACAACGGGATACAACAGAACTATAAACCTATAAAACTTTTCTGAACCTATATACATGCTATTTGTCTGTTAATTGAGAGAGCCAATCATCACATTACTCATCTCTCACACTAACACCCATGGAATTGCTTGTAAAGACATTAAAACACACCTTTGCTAAAAACTTTAATTCAGAAAACAAGACACCATAATTTATTAACAAACAATGAAACCAGCTTTGCTGGACACTGTAGTCTGGTTTAGAAATCTTTTATTATATGTATTTGATGCTTTGAAGTACTGAGGTGTTGCAAAACTAATACACCAGTACCAACATAACAATTTAGCAAGTACATATGTGTGCCAAACTAAATTGAATATATTTCAACCAGTAGAGCACTTTAAAACAACCTGGTGGGTATAAAATACTTCATTCAGGAACATCTTCTTCTGGAACGACTTCCAAAAGCATCTGGAGGTGCATAGTGATGGGCTCTGATGAAAAGATTTATTGTTAGAGGCTTTATAAGAGAACTTTCAATTCAAACTCTAAGTGAGAAAACTATCCTTCTGTGTAGTTGTTTTTTTAATCTGAATTCCTATTTCAAAATGAAAATAAAGGGTGGGGAATAAAGTCTTAAGATCCAAACTACAGCATTCCACATTTCCAAACTTCCATTGGAGTATAATTCTTCCAATTACATAATTAAAATTATAATTAATTATGATTATTACATTATAATTAATCATCCTGGGGACAAGAGAGACAAATGATGGGTTTTTAAATGTCTGTAGAACTACTAATGCTGTTGTATTCAGCTAATTCCAACTACCCTCCTAGAAATACCTGTGTATCCTGTTTTACCTGAGATAATATCAGCGTTTCTCTAGGGATTATGCAATCAGTTCATAAATGGTCATTCTGAGTTCTTGCAGCTTTCACTGTACTCAGCCCTGGGATTACTTTTTGTCTTAATGCTGTTAACATTTTCTTTAGTAAAGATAATAAAATGAATAATCAGAGGTAAAAGCCCAGTGTTTGGTGGCATAAGAATGTCTGCTAGTCTTCAGTTAATGGCTAAAGCAATGTTTTGAAGTACAGATAACTGAAAAACTCACTTTACAGATTAATTCTGTTTCTTTGTGCTACTACAGTGATGTGTTGTTTTTTGTGAATTAAGTTTTCCTCAAGTCAGACATTACTTCTTTTTAACAAGAAGGAGTAAAGCCCACTGCATGCTAGGGAAATTGCTTCCCTGCACATTGTGCTCACATGCTTTATGTGAAAAATGCATATTATATGATTGGCTCTTCACAAATATTAAAATGAATACTGTATGTGTTGTTGGAAAGTTATGCTGTATTAATGTCTCTTAAGTAGTACTGTATTAATCTCTTTTATGTAGTGTGGTAAATATAATTTCTAGGCTATAGCATAATATTAAAATGGAAACTATGTGGTGTAAGATACTTTTTGTAACTAGCACTAAGAATGGAAAAGATAATCAAGAAATTCTTCACATTATCCTCTCTGAAAGAGATAACAGCAACAAACCCCAAGATTCCAAGAGAAGAATTACTGCCTCCTTATAAGGAGTCCTCACACTTGAGGAACCAAGAAGATTGATTTACAAGATGAGGGGGGGAAGCTGAAATTAAGCAGAACCACCCTGGTTTGAAAGGAATGTTTGAATCATATATGAGAGCTATAAATATGCAATAAGCTATTGCTTTTAAGGGGTAATTCTTTGTTAGCAAGGCGTGCCTTTTGGCAGAGTGCAAAGCACCCAGATGTCCAGAATTCTTTGCTTTTTATTGTCTCTAATTGTCCTAATTTTTATTACTATTTTCATTACTATTAAACATCTAAAATTTTAACAAAAGTGAATGGCATTTTTCACACTTTAGTAGGGATTGACCAGATAGTGAACTTTAATATTGTAATTAATCTCAAGTTTAGCAAATGTTGAGTTTACTTACTTGAAATTTTTTGTGCCCATCTGAATTTTAAATGAACAAAAAGTGCATAAACTATAAGTCCACTAAGTATAAATAAAGTACAGTACAAATAGGGCAGTTCAGGTGCACTGATGATTGGTGCCAGTACCAGCACAATTGACACCAGTGTCACTATGACAGGAATGATGATGGGGACCTGCAAGATACAAAGAATAAAATCACTTCCTCATTCTTTAGCTGTTTTTACAGAAATTGCCTGTATGAAAGAATATTTTTATTGCCTTACACATTTTTTTACTTTAAAATTTTCTGGAATCAGATGGGGCAACGGAAGGAGTATCAGAAATATGGGCAGGGAAAACACTTCTGCCAAATTATCCACTAAGATCTCTTATTTCAAATTGCAGTGTCCAAGTTTGCATTTTAATAAATAATATGGAGACTGACTTACATGCAATGGCCTGGGGTCTTATTTTGGATATTCTTTCAATGGAAGTCTGCTGACTGCAATTACCCATCTCTGAAATTTTGGCTTTTGTGCAAGTGAAAATCAACATTCTGTAATCTTTTCCCAGTCCTTATGAGCTTTGAGCTTTTGAGTCCTGGTGCAGATCTGCTGTTAAATGGTTGGATTTCAGGCAAGGGGAGTAAAAAACAAGGATACTGCCCAAGGGGGCTGTTGAAACATCCAGATACTGAGTGTGAATTCCTGCTACAGCATCTATGGAATGGAGGAAAAGCCACACAGAACTTACCCTGATAGGTCTCTTGAGTTCCTTCCTTGTAAACCTCATAACAATTAGTGCAAGTACAGTTAAACCATAAAATATCCAGACTGCAAAACTGAAGTAATTTATGAGGGAATTAATGTCACCAGGAATAACATAAATAATAGCAATGGCCCCCTAGAAATGAAAACAAAAATTAGTGTAGTCTATTATAGAAGAAGGTTGAATTTTACATCTGTTTCAGCATGTGTGATGTTCCAGAGTATGAACTGTGAATGTTTTTGCTTAAATATTTGGGTTTAAGTGCATTGCAGCACCTTTAAAGATTGTGACTGCTTCCTGCCAACACATGGTTATTTTTGTGTGCAATCTGAATTCCATTTTAAGTTAAAATGCTTATCATTTTTATGCATTAATCTGCTTTATTGTTGACTAACTATCTTGAAGATACAAAATATATTTTTAGGTTTTTAATACTACTGGGATTAAAAGGAATGAGGAGGAGGTGTCTTTACAAACAAACTGTGGGCCTGAGGGTAGATAAGGCCAGATAGGGAGAGGTGAAAGAAGCAATGGGCAGAACCATAAATTCCATAGGAATTCCACTAATTGACACAGACTGTTACTCACTCAAGACTGTGCTACATCTCTGGACTTAGAGAAAAAGAACAGAGACATGAGGAGAAAGAAAAAGCAGGGGTCACACATTGGAAATGAGGTCTGGATTAGGTGATGTGGGAAGTCTGTGCCCCTCAAGTACCTCAGCCAATGGGAAAGGAGAGGGAAATGTGGCCAGAAAATTGGGATTAAAAGGAGGCTGTGTCCTCTAATAATTTGAGAGACCCCAGGGGGAATGCCCCATGGCCTCTCCCTTTATTCAAATAAAGTTATGAGATTCCTCTGTCTCCCTTTTACATAAACCTCTGGTGTTTGTGGATTAATTTTCCTGACAGGATTGAATAGATCTTGTTTTGCCTTGAAGATAAATGAGTAAAATAAAAATAACAAGATGTTCTAGGTTTATTCTTGAATGTGTTGACTGACCGGACTTTTTTAGTGTGAACTAAATCTTCTACATGGAGGAAATATTCCCACATGGAGGAAACAGGGTAGTGATAGCTGGCTTACAAGTATCCTGTGAAAGGTTTCCCTAATATTAACCATTCATTTAAGATTCTGTTCTCATGCCATTGATTGTTAACCATTTTGATTTTTAAAGTCCAGTTCTGGAACAAATATGTTCAAATTAGAGAAGCTGGGGGGTTTTTGTAGTCTTCTTCCCAAAATGCATTTAGCAATTTTCTTGTCTAGATAGTTAATGATAGGTGTCAAAACTGCTTGTAAGAAGCTGTGAAAGTATGAATTACTGGAAAATTTTTGGTGGTAGGTGATGATTCTTTTTCTGTATTTAAATACATACTTACATAAAATATAATGGCAGGTGCTGGTGTTAAATGCTTGACACTGATGTAGGACAGAATCTTCAGCACGTGCCCCTCACGACCTGCAACGTACACAAGTCTGGAAAAACAGAAACAAGGCAGAGCAGTTGGTGTGGCACCTGGGCTTTAAAAGGTGTTACTAAAGTAGACATCCACCTAATTCCATCAGGATTTTCTTTGATATGCATTGGGATTTAAAGATTGTAGCAGTTAAAAATGAAGGAAATTAAATAACCGGTATTAAAGCAGTGAGATGAAACAAATTCTGAACAGTATTAAAATAGTGCACTTGAAATTAATTTCAGAATCATTATTGAAAATTATTTTGGGAAATGTTACCAACTGTGTCTCTTAATTAAATATTTCCTTTTTCATGTGTTTCATAGCAAAAAGGTGTATTGACAACCTGTTGTTTAAAAATGGTCTTTAAAGCCACATTGTGTTCAGATGGTTTTGAAATCTTAAAATATTTTAAATAGTAAATGGAAGTGCTGAACAACTGATAGAAAGAAATAGCTTCTCAGCTACCTTTGCTGGTGTAGTGATGTTTTTACTGGTAGCTTTTAACTGTTCAATTCTCAGCTTTAAAATTGATGAGAAATTAAAAAAACTTTTGTGCTATAGTGGTATACCTTCATTGAATTAAGAAGAAACCATTTTTCTAACTTTCAAACCTCAATAGCCACTGTTTCTTTTTGAAAATTAAACAATATAGCTAGATTTACAGGCAATTTCAAATTACGTTTTGTGTGATGTAGATCAGAAGAATGTTCTTATGTCTGTAGATACATGTATATAAATTTTTCCACCTTTCAGAACCTTTCATGAAGATATTTAGAATGGGGACTTACCTGCCTGCAGTGAAACAGGTGCCATTGGCAGATCCAAGTGTGGAAAATACCACAAAGAGAGGAACTATCCAAGAGGCTGGATAAAGGACTCTGTCCCCAAATGTCTGGGAAATGGGATTAAAATTAATCACTTTTGTCATTTTAACTACCATTTAGTATATTCAGTAATGTTAGAACCTCTTTGTAAGTAAAGTAAATGGGTATCTGAGCTGTGTTACCCAACAAATCCATGTTGTATATTTTGTGTAGTTATTGAAGAATGCTCTGCCAGATAAAAACCTAGATTCATTCACTGACCACTGTAAAATGGAGTGGAGTGTTATTGTCATGATGTTTAAGATGCAACATCTGTAGGAGACATTGGAAGGCAGATGTAAAAACTGCACAGAAATTAAATTCTGTTAAAGACTCCTGCCTTGGGATGTGTCTGCAAAGACAAAGGAGGGAGATGGAATTGCTGCAGAGCTCTGTGCACACAGAAATCTGTTTTCAACCTCTCCAGGAGGAATAACATCAGCAGTGACAGCCTGAGATGGGGGCAAATCAGGACAAACTCCCCCTGGTCTTTCACCACACTTGAGTTTTCACCTGTGGCGTGGTTTGTTAGTTCTTGCTGTAGATCTCAGCTAGGTACATTGTCCAAAGGAATTTGAATTTAAATGTTTTTGACAGGTAGATTTAGTTTTTAGTTGGGTTGGGATTTTTTTAATAAATCAAGCATGAAGAGCTTTGCTTTTGCACAAGTCTGACATCAGTGATGTTGCAGAATTGGGGCACACAAAGGCTGCTGACATCTGTATTGACCCCTCTGCTCAGAGCCAGTGCTGAATTTTGTTAATTCATTTGTTAATTGATCAGTTCAGTGCTGGTTGCTGTGAGCTGTTCAGATTGTAAGTTTAAAGGTCTATTGAAGAGGACTAGTTCTTATACAAGATTTAACTTCATACTTTTGGTGCAGACAAGCTGTTTAAATGCACAGAAGATCTAAATTTTAAAAGGTTTTATTTTAATTTTTTAAAAATTTTTATTTCATTTTTATTTTATTTTTATTTTTTAAATTTTTTTAAGCATTTCAACATTACTGTACTTCTTCACTGGACAAGACTATTTTATATATATAAAAAAATATATTATATATTTTATCATTATCGTTGTTATTTATTATATTGTCAAATAATATTTATATATTATTATGCCACTAATTTTATTATTTTTATATGTATATATAAAATATAGATTAATATGTATGGAATATATACTTTAAAAATATATATTTATTTTTTTTTTCAATTATTATTAAGGGTTTTTTTAATGCTTGTCACATACTGTTTGTTTTCCCCAAAACCTTGCATTAGGAAAATTGTTGCAGGACCTCAGTTGTTTCAGAGACACAGAAAATTTACTGAGTGGAACTGAGGGGGCAGATTTGTTTTTTATGGCTTCAGAAACTTCTGTAATTTCTACTTTTACCTGTAAGAGTATGTCTTGCAAAAATGTAAAAATCCTATCTTTCAAATTTATTAAGGAAAAAAGCCCAAAAATAATAAGGTGGAAGTGACTAATGGACAATTTGCTGTTATCTCCATAACAAACTCAGATCTATGTACTATGGCATTTCTCAGAAATCCTGGGAACGCTGAAAATGGCAAAGCAGCTGTCAGATGTTATTTCCCTTTCCATCTTTTTCCTGCCTATGGAAAGCAGTCCCTCTCTGACTGCAATGTTTACAATATATTTGCTGAAGACTGCTTTACTTTTGCATCCTTCTTTTTTATTCCATCTGGAGATGACAGAACTACTCTTCCAATTTGGCATTACTGAAATTTTAGGTTAAGGAATGATAGTGGCTAATGGGGGAAAGGTGGCACTAACAGCTTAGACTAAAATTAATTTTTATCTTACAAAAAATTAATGGAATTTAATGGCTCACATGACTTCAATGCAGATGTTCTGTTACAAAATTAAGTAACTTACCACAGCAACAGCTTGGGACTGCAGGAGCTCTGTTGAAGTCATCACAGTGAAATAGGAAACATTTATCAGAACATAACAAACTGTGACCAAGGGGATTCCGATAATTATAGACAGTGGCAGATTTCTAAAGAATGGAAAAGCAAAACCCCATCAGCATTGCTGGATCACTGCTACAGTTATCATAGTAAACTCTGCATTCTTACTTTTCCTATTTACTTTTTTTTTTTAAGTGTAGAGCTATGGAAATCAGGATTGTAAAAAATTATGCAAAGATGCAAAGCCTGTAATAATAATTAGCTAATTAGCTTTGTCTGTTAGTGCTCAAACCTTGAATAATAGAATATTAGTGCTTTTAAAAAAAAACCAAAATATATGCTTGCTTATATAAAAATATATAGGGCTTGATTTCTTGCCAGTAAAAAACACTGCTTTCCTACACAGCTTTACCTGTATGGATTTTTAAGTTCCTCTGTGATGTAATTGAGTTGATTCCTGGAAGGAAAAACATTCATAGAGTATTTCAGCAGTCAGGGGTTTAAATACTCACCTATGAGGTGAGGTTATTTCTTCTGTTCCTGTTTTTAATCTTTTCAGTTTTAAAAAGGAAAAAAAATGTAAAATCAATTTTTTAAGTGGGAAAACTGCAGGATAAAACCAATGTGAACTTCTTATCCAAAAGTCAGGCTCTTGATTCACCATCTCTTTCTGCATTATCTCTAGTATCTCTAAGACTCTAAATCTTGGATAAAATATCCCAGAATAATCAAACAAAACTTTGGCAGACATCTTAGATTTCCAAAATTGCCTTTCAACTTCAAGCTTTGCAGTATCTGAGTCTTTTCAAATAAAAGCACAAGTGTGCTGGGGGCAGAGAGGAAAGCAAGCCTGCTGCTGTTTCAGAGTGGTTCTGTAAGTCATCCTACCTTTGAAAAACAGGCATGAAAACCTTTTTAAGGTGAATTATAATTTCCAAATAACCATTTTTGCTAGCGTGTGTAGATCAGTTGAAACAATTTTTATTTTTTTATATTCATCCACTCTGAAAATTTGAAGAGTGAGTATTTACAGTTCAAAGGCAAATTTTCAAATGTTAGTGCCTGGTGGTTACATACACAAATAATTATTTAGGGATCAGCTTATTTGCCCTCTTAAAAAGTCCATGTGAATGCCTGAATTAGCAGACTCATGCCTGAGTTGAGACACTCAAGCTTGGAAACAGAACCTAAAAAAATAATCTATTTAAATAAATTCAGTTTCAAAAGCTTTTAAATGGGAATTTCTGTGTGGTAGACCAAGATTATATCCTTATTTGCTCCCAAAATACTGACCTATATACAGACTTTTGCAGTTTGTACATTTAAGAATAACAATGGATTTGTGCCAACAGAGCTCTGTGCCAAGTGACATTCCCCAAGAAAAAACCTGCAAGTTGAACCTTATAATTTCTGACACAAAGTTCCTTTTTATGTTCTCCTGGACTAATCAAACACCTCTACATATTTCACAAGAAATGGAGTTTGATGGGGTAGCCTGCAGGGAAAGCTATTTTGTCTAAAACAATGGAATTAAATTTGTTATATTCTCCTTATTACTGCAATATCTAATCACCTTCAACACTAAAGCAGTAATTGTCCTTTTGGGATCTAAGATATTTTCTTTCCCTAACAAACAGACACTAAAAGAGGGTGGAGTTCTGGGGTTTTTTAACCCAAACTAGTGTTCTTTTTTCCAGAATTCATCAAGACATTCTTAATAACAAGTCAGTTGTTAACGCCTTCAGAGGGTTCTACAGGGAGAGAGTAAACCAGTTAAAGGCTGTTAAACTCTAACTGTGAAGGTTAATAAAGATTTCTTACCATCCATCATATGCCCAGAGTCCATTATAAAATGCCAAACTGATAGAACTAACAGAAATTTTACTGCCCTTGAAAGAATCTTTAAAGTTATCTGTTTTTCCTGCAAATAAGAGGAAGATTACTGATCAGTGTTGGAATTAATTCTTGTAATCCCCCCAACAGATGAAAAAAACATTCCCACATATCTCATGTTTTGAAACTTTTCACTTATAAAATTAATGAACACCCTTTTGTGTTAATTGATCTGTAGTTTATATTTGTAGATCTGTAGATTTGTAGTTTGTATTAATTGATCTATGGTGCTGCATTTTGCACACATCCCCTTCTGTGAAAGAAAATGCCATAATTTCCAAGAGATTTAGAACTAAAACCCAGAATGAAGAGATTCATGTCTGTGCCTTATTTCTGTGTCTCTTCTCTCAGTGGGGAATTTTTAATCATCATAGCAAAAGCTAAAATAATTTTTCCAAATAACATATATTTTATTACCTTGTGCAAGGAGAACAATTCCACTTACAATAATGATTGTGACAATGATCATTTTAGCAGCTGTGAGAAAATTCTGGAGGTAACTTCCCAGCTTCACACTCAATGAATTCACAATTGTAATTACCACTAAAAGAAACCAAATTATAAATTTTCGCACCGTTTGTCAGAATTTAAAGAAAAGTTGCCCCTCCCCTTATTTACTGTACTGCTTTTCTGTCACACTTTTTGTCTATGTATATTATATATATATATGTATATATGTATATATATGTATATGTATATATATATGTATGTGTATACATATATATGTATATTACATATATTTGTATATTATAACAACATATAAACATATAACATAAACTATATGTGTATGTATATAGTTTGTATATTATATATATATTTTTGCCTGTCTATACAGTTTTTGCTTACTGTGTTTGGATAACTTTAGAAATAGTGAGGAAAAACAGATTTATGAATTAGACTTTTATAGTACATTTAATAAAAAAAAAAATTTAAGTTGCACAGCATTCTGATAAAGAAATCGTATTTCCACAGTTAATTTTTCTTCCTTTTCTGTTAGCGATAAGCATTCATTATACAGATGTATCTATCTTAAGGAAGAATAAAAACAAAACTCAAACTAGGGAAAAAAACATTTTAAATCCATCCTTTTTATGCAGTTTAATTAATTATTGTGGGAAGGGCTCACTGTACTGTGTCCTAAAGATTTCTGGTGTCTCTGTGAAGATGAACATAAGGAAAATGCACTTGTGGATGGGGCCAGACACAGGTCCCAATGCAATTCTGGATTTGGGCTGTTTAAAATTGTGACTCTTACCAATAGCAGCAGCTGCCAGACACTTGATGACTGCCTGGGGTGGGTCACAGCCTGGGTAAAAAGGAGCTGATGCATATTCTGCAAAGCTGAGGCAGATGATGGCAAAGGAGCTGGGTTTTGTGACCAGCAAGCTCGTCCAAGAGAACAGAAAGGCTGGAATTGGCCCAAACGCCTCCATGAGATAAGGATATTCTCCCCCAGACTTTGTGATCATTGTACCAAGCTCAGCAAAACAAAGTGCACCTGAATGACAAAAAAAAGCAGGTTTAGTTCATGCACTTTTGGTCCTGGGACTGCTTGAACAGGTGATCACTTTTTAATAGGTAGAAAAGTGCAGGGAATTGATCTGTACTGTGCACCATTACTCTCTTCATGTTTCTGTTAATTTTACTGTATATGCAAAATAAAATTTTAATTACTTGTGAGCAATCAAAAGAAATACCCTGGAATTATTCAGATGCAGTCTAAAAATTATTACCATTGATACTTAAAACTTCACCAAAACATTACAAACAAACCTTTTGATTTCATTTGATTTCTGTTTAAGAAATGAACACTGTAAGAAGCACTTGAGTGAGAACTGCACTGGCTGACACACCTATTGGAAACTTGAAAAAACAAACTTTCTGCACTATTTTGAAATAAAATGTCTGCTAAGCTCAGCATTAAAGTACAGTGATACTTCCTATTCTATTGCTGTATGTGGCATTTTGAATTAAGGTTTTTCTTTTTTGCTGCCCCACTTGTTACAATGCTCAAAATTTTGTTTTACTTCTTGAAATATTTTGAGGTGCTTAATGCTAAATTTTCAGATAACAGAATTAGAATTACAGAAGTAGAAAGCCAGCAGAAAGTACCTGGCTCACTACCAGTAAATTTCACATATTGGCAGCTATTGAAGTAGAAGACTATTTTCTTTATTACAGTCAGTGGATGAAGCAGGAAAAACTAAAACTTCCTTTCCAAATAGAGTGTAATTTACAATTTTGAAACTTAATTTGTCTTCTAGAAACACCCCATTTTTAATTTATGGTTCAGTACTGCATATAAACATATATAGAGCAGGATTTAGTTGATTTTGGTCCTGGTGCTATGAGCTAATTTGTGAAATGAGAGTATGCAGAAACAGCAGATATCAAGATTTAAGGCAAAGATTCAGATTCTTTGTTGAGTTTTTACCTAATGTTGCCAGAACTCCACAGGCTGCCCAGATGGTTAAACAAGGACCCACAGCTTCCACATTGGCAAGAACTGATTTTGGAGAAACGAAGATACCTGAGCCAATAATGGTACCCACAATCATACAGATTCCACTAATCAGGCCCACCTTGAAGTAAAATGAGATGGTTTTGTAAGCAACTTCTAGGAATTCACCAATTACTTCTCAATATCACAGAACTACAGTAATTGTCCTTACTGACTGATTTTTATTGGCTTTCAATATGTAAGTTTTATAAAGAAATACAGTAAACAATTTTGCAAAGTTTCACTCTTCTTATCAAGATTTGTATGTACCCTGTGGTGGACTCCTGCTGTTTTCAGAAGTACATCTGTCTGTGTTTCGCCTGCCTATTTCCTTTATTAAACTGTCTTTTGAACTATGTGAGTCTCAAATACAACCTTGAATGGGTGAACTTGCCCTTTCCTCTCTGATTAAGCCATGACATTCTTTTACAAGCACTTGACGAATTCTGAATTTTCTAAGACTCAGAAATTGTCTTTCATGGACGGAGTCCAGGTTTGTTGTTGTTGTTGAGCAGCTGTTTTCCTGTCCTTGCTTTAAATATTTGTACCTAGGAATGGTGTCAATACCACCGGGTGAGAAGATTATGTTCTCCCAGATCTGTAGTGACCGACAATATTGCATGAAAACACTGAAACTGAGGCATGGGCTGCTTAATATTTTATGATAGCTATGGCTACTCTAATGACATCAGTATTTTTCCCGTCTTGGCACCAAACTAAAACCACATAGATAATCTTTCTCCAGGCTACTTAAATTAAGAGAAATGCCACTCCCTCCCGAGAGGAAGTGACACAACTCTTTTCTAAACCATCTGTAATTTTCTGTAAGAGACAGATTTTCACTTCTCTTCAAGTACCAGTGCCTATTTTCTGGCTATAAACACTAACAAACTTTCAGAAACAATGAGCTGGACAACCAACTATGACTTCTGAAAATTACATGCAGAAAAAAAAACGTTTATGAAATGCCTCAGTTGATCAACTTAGAGTAAGTCTTTGAATTATTTTTATATCTGATAACTTCAATGACATATTCCAGGGGGTTTATTCTGTTTCTATCAGAGCTATTTAATTTCAGTAACTGGCTGTTTCTGAAAATGCAAGCCAACCACATAGCTGAGATATCAGGATATTTTTGCTAAATTGGGACACAGTGGTGTTTTTGTAAGCTGATGCATGTGCACAAATATCCCCTTGTGCCTCCCTCTGCCAGCCCCTGACACCCGGACCCAAGGGGAAAGGAAAAAGGAGAGGAAAAAGGTTTGCCTGCTTCTGTAGGTTCATCGTTTGGGGCTCATGACTCTGGATGGATTGTCTGTCCTCTCTTCCTTTGTCCTCTCCTTTTCTTCTCTTCAAGCTTTCTTCACCCATTTGTTTTCCTTGCTGAAATTTCTAAGGAAACAACAACAAAATCTTACTCTAGCATATGAATGTTGCTTGACTTTAGCTGATGCCAGTGGGTACAAATGAGTGCGGGTAAATATGACCAGAAAACAAACACAGCACACAGTCACTCCCAGGAAAGGATTTCCATGGCACTACCTGCTCAGAGAGGAGAAGGGATGGCAGCTTCACCTCCTCCTCTGTGGATTTTCCTTACACCCACCTGGCAGGGGCTGTCTGTGGCTTCTCACATTCAGTTTGCAGGACGTCCTCACTGGAACAATCCAGCTTTTATAGCCAGTCCTTCCTTTGAACTACTCCAAAGGTCCAGACAGGTTTTATCTTCCTCCCAAAAACTGGTTTTCTTCTTATCTAGGAGACCTTCTTTCCATTCTTCATTTAATTAGGCTTTGCCTCAGTTCCTTGGAGATGGAAGCATCTGCTAAACAGAGTGTGGGCTACCAGAATTATCTGTTTAGCAGCTCTTTGCCTCGGAAAGGGTCACCAATCTTCTCTCTGTTGATTCAGGGTGAATGTCTTCCACTCAATACTTTGTCCTTTTTAGAACTGGAATGTAAAGAGTTTGTTTTCAAATTTAAATTTAGACTTACTTTTTTTTTTTTTTCCGTGAGGATTTTGCTTGTTTCCCCTAATACTGGTCTAAAATACAATCTGAGACAGGGAAGGAAATTGATGAGTCTCTAAAGTAGATTCAGTCAAAAGTCTCTTCTCTCCTAAGACTCTGCAACTATATTTACTTCAATTTGAACGCTGAAGATCCTTATGCTTTTTTACAGATGGTAACTGTGGAAGGCATCATGTTTAGGAAACATAAGTTGGTTTTTTTTGTAAATTAATTTGTAACTGTCTACAAAAACTGCAGCATTTTAAATTGACAGAATACCTATCTCAGTATTGTTGTCTTCAGAAATATTTAGGCTAAAAAGACATCAGGTCTATCTTCTGAATTACAGATTTTTAAAATAATCGTAATGAATTAACTGTTAAGATTAAACCTTTGAAGGAAAACTGCACACATGAAGAATGCAGGGCTTGGGTGGCTGAACTTCATTGCAGCTTTGTGCCCAACATCTCTCTTTTAAAGCCCTGTATTTAGACTGCTTCAATCATTAGCTTTAGCAATTCTTGCTTTCACTTACCTTATTTATTTAAATTTGTTTGCAGTTAATCAGGTGCAGGAATCCTTGCCAAGTGTGTTTCTCCTGTTGCATTTCCCAGCCAGTTACAAGCAAGGCATGTCCATGTCTGAAAGCAGAATACGAAGAAGGAGCAGCAGCCTAAGTACAGAGGTTATAAAAGGTAATCATTAAACCTATTTTCTGCCACGAAGTTTTGAGTTAGGAACCACAGGTAAACTGATAGTCCAGTTAGTTTATCTTTAAAAACAAGAAAATCCAGCTTTGTCCCATTTGTGAGAATGTTTATCCAGTGCTAAGCAGTGCATCACAAAGTGAGAGTGATCCATCATTTGGAGAATCTATTTTGATGATCTTTACAGCAAGCAGCTGGTAATTTAGGAATGCTTTGGCAAGATAACCTTGAAGTAATTGTCACATTATGGGTGCATTAAAACCATGTGCTCAATTTGAAGCCTATTAAAAATAGTTGATGTTTGTATCTCGAGAAGGTAGAGACGCATAAGCAAAAACATTTCCTTTGTTTTTCATTAACTTGAGGCAGCTGAACGGGCAGCTGGTGATCCCTTTGCTTGCAGCTACAAAGATTTTCCATTTTTGTAAATATTTAAAGATCTTGCTTCAGTGAAAAATGCCATTCTCTGTTTCTCTGCAGTTGTATATCCAGAGAAAAAAAGTATTATTATCCTGAATTCTGCCACAAGGTAGCTGCTTTTATTTGAGCTAGTCATCCCTAAAACACTTGCAAAAAGCCCCTTAATCATGTTAATCACTTAATTGTTTTTAGCAGTGCGGTTGTACAACTCCTTTGCTGTGTGACACTCCAATCAGTGAGTCCTGAGCACCCCCCTGTAAATGAGTTTGTCAATAAATACCTACTGGTAAAAGCTAAAAAGTGTTCAAATACTGGCTCCTGATGTTAACATTTAACATTCCTTCCCTCGTGGAGATAATGGCTCATTAACATGCGCTACAGGGCTGGAAATTAAGACCAAATTGTTGGGTCTGAGTATCAACAAACCCACCCTAAGCACGTTTTGACAATTGTTTTCCTCCTGTTTTAACAAACTCGTTAAGCATGCAGGATTGATCAGCAGGAATTCCCTCGGCAATGATGATGTAAATCTGTGACTAAAAATGGACTCTTCAGAACATGTGAAACATTTGTTAGTTTATATTTGCCATGTTTTCTGGTGGTTGAGCCAGACTGCACTGAGAATGTTTTTCTCCAAAGTAATGTTGGTACAGGAAACAAAATCAAAACTGTACCTTTTTAGTCACTGGCTTTTCCCTCTCTGTTTTTCTTGTTTAATTCTCACAGAAATAGGGTTAAGATACAAGAGAAGCTCTTCCATCTTAAATAACTTGTTCTTGAAAAATTACCACAGTAAGAATGGCCAGACAAAACTTTGGGGTTTTTTTTTTCACCTACAGATAAAGAGAATAAAACAGGTTAAAATTACAGTCGTGCTTCAACCATATGAAAAGGCAAGTATGAACAATTTATTCATTTTAATGAAAGTTTTACAAGGACCTTTTAAATATTTTTCGTGGTAATTGTGATATATGACAAAAATTAACTAATGTCTTCATATCCTTCAATTTCCCAATTTCATTTGGTGTGAGATATTATGTACTTATAATGTACTTCTGTCTTCCTTATTCTGATAATTTTGAAATGAAGGTTTATAATCTTTTCATACCTGTGTTGTTCCTGAAATGCCACAGAGACTATTGAAATAGCTGATGTGAAAAGAAAAAAAAAGAAGGGGAGGTCATATTATGGGGCTAACATTGTCCCTTGAAATGAAGCAGGCACAACTTTCACATCAGCTCTACCCTGGAATTTACAGACCAACAAAAAACCCCCCAAAACCCACATAATTTTTATGAAAAGATAATGGGGTGTGTAATCTTTAATGTTCTGTTAAGTAAAGTTTTGCTGAGGAATTTTTCTTAGATTTAGTGTAATTTGATTTGACCTCAACTAGTCTGTGCTTCTTTATAAAAATAGAAAAGTACCTTAATTTATTTGTCTAGTTTTGTTTTAGGGGTTGCTCTCCTTGGGATGCTGTAAACCCATTAAAAGATTTTTAATTTTACCAGCAATCCTTCTTTTCCTCAGCCACCAAAGCAAAAAAATAAACATCGATTTCAAGGATTCTAATGTTATTTTCTTCATAGACAAGAGAAATGACATTTTATAGCCGTGGGAAAAGAATCCTTCCCTCTCACATAGGTACACAAATAGATGAAGACATGAATGAGTTCAAATTCCAAGGCATTTTGAGGCAAACACTTTGAGGGCTGCTCCTATTTAACCCTGTAGTTTGGACCTTTTCAAGGTGCACTTTACCAATTAAATCGTAAAAAGTAATTTTCAACTTTAATTCGGGAAATAGCAAGGGTACAGTATATAAATGCACCTTTTATTATCCCTACTTACCAAAAATGAAGGTTAATGTTTGTTAGGGTTGGAATGTATTGCTTGCAGTAATGCATGCTCTGCTTTGATCAATACTAAAGCAAATGATAAGGATCATCCTAACTTGCAGTTTTTAAATGTAGCTTAGCAGTATCTCAGGGTGAATACTTTCCATTCCAACCTTCCTGCTTCCAGGTTATTGAATTTTAATGAGAGGACCAGCGTGTTTCCCTGCATTTTTCTGACCATATTAATGGTCAGATGTGCTCTAAGATTTGATCTCAGTACTGTCATTCTTTAAATAACATTTTTTTCCTAAATAACTGCAGGTATGCTGCAAGTGGAATATAAAGAAATTATATTAGCTAAATTATATTTAATAGCTGTGGTGATGCTGGGTCATGCTACTGGTTTGCAAGAACTTTGCGTCTTGTGGAGGTCAGCAGGAAATATTAGGTGACTGCAGTTCTTAATTACCAAATAAACTACAGCTCTTAACAGAATATTTGGGGTTTAAATATCTGTATTTTCCCCTACTTAGTTCTTGGTTCCAGTGGAATTGGGTTTTTTTCTGTGATAAATAAGGCTTTTGAAAATATATTCAGGTCTGCTAAAGGTTCTGTAATAGAACTGCCTGAACAGTGCAGAGTCTTTAGTCCAGCGAGAGATTTATTTTGTATTTTTTTAAGCAGAGCTGTTTAGAGACTCAATAAATTCATAAATGCTGGGTCAAGAAGTCTCTTCCTCAGGATGTTCTAAAGGAAATTTGATGGCCTCTGGAGCAAATCAGCTGTAGTATGTCACACTAGTTGTTTTTAACAGTGCTTCAAACTCTGATCAGGACCAATGATTTTTTTGATCAACATCCAACTTCTCGTGGTTTTTTATTTTAAAAACAAAGCCTGACTTTGATCTCCTTTTTGAGTCCAAACTCAGGTTGCATTCCACTGGCCTTCCACCAAGTGGGGGTTACCAGTTAACACAGGTTTTGGAAGGCAAACCTGCCCTGTGCCCATCTCTGGCTGAGGAAAGAAACACTGAGGCACTCACTGAGGTTATGATGTTCTGTGCTACTTTTCAAGTCTCATTTTAATTTCATATTTACTGAAACCAAATATTTCAGGTAGAAAACAATCCTAAAATCTCAAATATATTTCTTTCTCTATTTCATATCTGAATATGTGCTTATATATATATGTTGAAATAAATTTAGTACAGAAGAAAATAGGACTAAAAATTCTGGAGAGCTCACTCCTTGAGAAAACACATTTTTAAACATAAAGAAGCTTTCAAAGTGCTGCTGCTTTTCTAGATCCAAGCTGACACCATGGGGTTTTTACCACAGATTTACAGAGAAGGATCAGTGCTCAGAATTCTCCTAAATTCTCCTTCCATGCCTGCCCAAGGAAGGACTTGTAGTCCCAAGGGAAAAGCTCTCAGAACTCCTGATGCCATGTGCCAGGAATTTTTCATGGTGAAAATGTCTTAGGAGGTTCTCTCTTCTGAGCTGGTGAAAGGCAATCTCCTGGGCTGAAAAACAGCATCTTGGAAAGTGGAAAGGGAAAAGGAAAGGGGAAAGGAAAAGAACCTGGGTTTAAATGACTTACAATGGTCAGGGGAATTTTTCTAGGAAGTGGGAATAAAGATAAGGTAAGTACACATCAAAGCTCTGTCAGGTCACGTAACGCTGGTACAGGCTTACCTTAATGTACTGCTGAGTGTCACTGTCCCTGCTGCTGACACACCCAAAACACAGAGTGAGAAGTGCTCTGTTCTCACTGTGGAGTAAAAAGTAACGCCACTATTTCAGCTGTAGCTGGCAAATGCATTGGAACTACTGAGAATTACTCATGGCAGGAAAATTAATCCACAAACACCAGAGGTTTATGGCCAAAATGAGGCAGAGGAGTCCTTTTACTTTATTCAAATAAAGGGAGAGGCCATGGGGCATTTCCCCTGGGATCTCTCCAATTTTAGGAGGGCACAGCCTCCTTTTTATCCCAATTTCCTGGCCACATTTTCCTCTTTCCCCATTGGCTGAGGTGCTTGGGAGGTACAGACTTCCCCAAACACCTGATACCTAAGGCTCCCTTCTAAGGTATCACCCCCCCCTTTCTCTTTCCTTGTGTCAATTAGTGGGATTCCTTATGGAATTTATGGTTCTTCCCGTTGTTTCTTTCATCTCTCAGTATCCAGTTTTATTTATCAGCAGACCTATAGTTTGTAAAGACAAATCTCTCTCATTCCATTCATCAGTCAGTGGAATCCTTCCCATTGTCTCTTTTATCTCTCAGTATCTAGCTGTATTTACCAGCAGATCCACAGTTTGTTTGTGAAGTTCCTCATTCCTTTCACTCCGAATTCTCCTGTGGTTTTGGTTTCTAAAGGGTGATGTCAATGTTTGCATTTTGAATATATAATCACATTATTTATTCCAAAATATGGCAAAATTATGTTCAGTTATTATGGACAGAATGTGCTCTGTACATTCATCAATGAAACTTGAATGTGACTACAGTTCCACAAACCCTGAATTTTCTCCTTTTCTTGTTAGGAATGGAAGAATGTTTTTATGTTGTCTTGTGAAATGAAGCTGAAATTACTTCATGGTTTCAGTTTACCAACTGGAAGATCTGGAAGGTTCTGTAACTGGAAGGCAGGAGCAATATAACAGAGCCAGGATGCTCTGTCAGCATTTTCAGGGGAAAATAGCAACTTTATATTGTCAAGTGGGAAAAAGGATAAATTGGCATGGGTAGAGTTACTGTACTAGACTAAAATGAAATAATTTCTTTCAGCTGTTAATAAAAAAGAGAATCAGCTTGGAAGGAACTGGAGGGAAGCACCTGTCTAATCATAATTCTGTTTGTACAACACTTGGCACATTTGCAAATGGATTTACTTTTGCTGGTCTGAAACAATTCCAGTACTTTACTCTCCAAGTATGTCAAGTGGGTTCATATGTATTTAAAATATGTTCATATGTATTTAAAATAGCCTGTAACAGGATTTTTGTTATGCCAAAAAAGTGTTCCTGAGCCACAGAAGGACTTTTTCATCCATGGGATATAACTTTTACTCAGTTCTCTTCCTGTGAAAACTGAGTATGGAGAATCACACAGGAATCTGATTAAATGTTAGTTCATTTAAAAGTCCTATTTTAATGATATGCAGATGGCAAAGTAAGTGTAGCAATTCTGAACAAGGCCTTAGGAGTGTCACTGTCAGGGTGCTGCCCTTTGAACCTTGTATTAAAATCCACTCTAAAACAAGAGCTGTGAAAATGGGCAGCAGCTGTGGCAAAAGTTCTAAGACATTCAAAGGTCACTTCAGTGGAAAAACAGGCCAACCTTGAGAGTTTTGGAAATCTTGCTTCTGTTTCTAAGAATTACCAATACAATACCTTTTCCTTGTGAATTTTTACAGGCTCTTAAAACAAACTCAATAGGGCAATTAAAACCAGATGAGGATAGTATTGTAAATATTAAGTCAGTTCTGAGATTGTATTTGCATATTAAGAGATGCTTATATTAGAAAATATGGCATGAAAGGCTTCATTTTCCAAACCTGCCTTTAGAAAGGTGAAAAGCTGAGGGTATGGCCGTGTTCCCTGCTCTTCCAGAGCCTGCACACCTGCAGATTGGAGCTTGTGTGGAAACCAGAGGAGTGTGAGTGCCTGTCTAACTTACCTGCAGAGGGATTTCAGACCTGACATTTCAAATTAGGGTTTTTTTTCAAATTCAAGGAACATAGGGGACAGGACTGGTGTAGTGACAGACCACCCCCATGACAATTTCACACATTAATAAAGTTATTTCAGACTGTGCTTAAAAAGAGTTTCTGGTTGTTATGTTGAGGCATGGAGTCTTAGAATAATCAAGTTGAAAAACCCAGGAGAGTGAAAGGATTCAAAGGTGTAGCTCTTGTTAAGTCTCTGGGCAGAGACGAAAAGATAGTGTGCTGTTGAGAATAGTTCTGTTAATCAGTGTCTTAAAGACTCTGACCCGCTGAAGTTGTATCTTGAACTGATAAGGCTGCTGCACTTGTGCACTTAAAGGGAAGGAATTAAAGTACACCCTAAAATCCTGCTTGCATATATATTACTGAGCTACTTTGGTGGTTTCCCAAAATCAGGGAAATGTAGTCTGAGTGCACTGAGGTTCTGCCAGTGCTCTGATCTGTAGATTTTTTAGCTTTGCACTGTGCTGCAGAATCTGCCTTTGAAAGCTGTACATCTGTCTGTCCCTGACCACCATGGTGTGATAGAAGTGCTGTCCCCACCCTCTCCTGAATAAAGCCATTCCTCCTCACCCTGAAGGAAAACGCTGCAGAAACCTTTCTAGACACAAACATTATGAATTTCTTTTAGTATTTTAACTTGGTTTTCTGCTCTTTTTGTTAACTTTGATCAAAGCCAATAATGAAATAATTAGAATTAATGAAATAATGAAATATTTTATGTAGTACTAGAAATAATGAAATTCTTCCTTATTTCCAATACTACACAACTATGATAGTTACATGTTTTTTGTATTGTTGCAGTTTTCTTGGTACCATTTGTGTTTTCTTATGAAAATGAAGCAAAACCAAAAAGCTGATCCAGCAAGTTATATGTAAATCCAAAATAAAGTTGTATCACAGTAATATATACTACTACAAAGTTGATGTGCAATATTGTGAAAAATCAACAAATCTGAAAGCTAATACAAATACAGGTCAATAATCTAAAAGCATAAACAATAAGCACTGCTTCAGAGAATACTCTGGGTGGTTTTGAAGCCACTGAGTCTGAAGCAGGATGAACAAAACAATCCGGAGAAGAGCTGCATCCTGTGCTGGCAGCTTGTCCCCTTGGCAAACCCATGGCAGGAGTTCCCCAGCACCTGTAAATCCCAGATCCTGTAAATCTACACACTGGACACTTGTGCATTCAGGCACAGCAGCTGTCATGGGGATGGTTCAGTCATGTCTGCTCCACACTCAAATTCTTCTCTGTCCTTTAGACAACAAGATTTTTGGCACACCAACTGGTATAAGGACATCTTTGCATCTTAGAAAGTCAAGATGCTTCCTCATGAGAGAAAGTATAAGCTACACTTTCTTTTCAGCTTGGATCATACTCCACCTGGCAATTTAGGAAGAATTCACTGAAACTTGTCATTTTAATTTTAACTAGCACTGTCTTGCTGCTCACTTGTTTTGTGGCATTGTGTGTCTGTGCTGAACACCAAGATGTTAACTTAAAGTTGCACCACATTTTGTCTTGAGAATAAACAGCCTTTTCTTCAAACAGCAAAGTTGTATTTTAGGCTAGATTTACATTATTAACAGAACAAGTAGAGAATATGCTGTTGTCATTTCCATGACCTTAAAAATACACTAATATTGAAGACAGCAAGCATTCCATTACACCTCGTGCTGCTGAAAAGTCAAATTCAGGCACCAAGTTTTCTTTCTTGGATGAGATAAGATTCTTATCAGTGACATTCCTGCTGAATTTCATTTTCAGTAGGGGATGAAGTTTTCACATCACAATAGCTAAAATCATGTCCATACACTAGGTCCTTCTGAGAGAGTGGTTCATGAACTGTGACAGCACTCCATGTGTTCTTCCTCTGTAAGGATTTCTGTAAGAGTTCTCTCATTCTCTTGTTTTCTTTGGCTGTGGATTCCCACATGATTTCAAGTTCCCCTTCTGTTTTCCTAGGAAAAAAAATGAAGACAAATTTCAGCTTTAACAATGTTTCAGCAGTACAGAAGCACAGTATGTGGATAAACAAATTAGAAATAGCCTGTATTTAGGTGCCTGATTGAAATTCATTCCTTTTTTGCTTTTGAAAAAGCTCATTAAATGTAATGCTAAATAGGATATGACCAGAAAACCACCCGTTATGTAACAAGTTTGATTAAATCTGCACACAGAGCAGTGCATTTGAGACCCAGATATTGTGACTGTCCCTCCTGCACTGACTGAGGCTCCCTGGTGAGCACAGCTCTGCCCCTTCTCACTGCCCAGAGCACTGTGCCACCCCTCTGAGCCCCAAGGCTCTGCTCAGTGCCAGCCTCTGTGCTCAGCTCATGCATCTTTGGGGGAGCCAAACAAAAGCGATATCAACTCAGAAGGCAGACAAAGCCCAAGAGCTTGGGTTTCCTTTGGCTCCTAGTGTATGTCAAAATACAAACAAGGAAATGAACATCAGTTGATGTGAAAAGCACAGCTGATGCATGGAAAATGAGCACACATATTTTAATACACAACCAGAGGACACAGGCTCAAGCTGTGTCAAGGGTTGGATACAAGGAAAAAGTTTTTTACAGAAAGGGTGATAAAGTTCTGGAATGGCTGCCCAGGGAGGTGGTGGAGTCCCCATCCCTGGGTGTGTTTAACAAAGCCTGGATGTGGCACTGGGTGCCAGGGTTCAGCTGAGCTGTTGGGGCTGGGTTGGACTTGATGATCTTTAAGGTCTCTGCCAATCTGGTCATTCTGTGAATTTGTGAATCTGAACTCTTCTTGGAGGACTAATTTTGAAGCAGAGCTGAGAGATGCAGAGGCAGAGAGTGCTAACTGGCTTTGCAATGAGCAGTCAGAGCACACTGCAGTCCCAGGTAAGGCACTGCAGTGTGGCACCACTGCACAACTTGCAGTCTGGTACTTCACAGTTCAGCTGTTTCCCAGCTCAGCATCTGAGAAGAAGCAGTAGCATCCCAAGTGTAGTTACACAAGGGGATTTTGTTTGAAAATTCTGACCTGATTGAAATTTAAAAATGCATTCAGTAGAATTGAAATTTAAAAATGCATTCACTGCTTAGGGAGAGGGTGTCTTCTTGCTAGTCACAACCTCCCCTTCCTTAAGGAATTTGGATTACAGAGCAGCTTGGTTGCTACAGCTGCTGATGCTCTGTACATCTTTCTCAACACCAAAATTTCCTTGTCTCTACAGCTGGTTTGCCTTTTGAAACACAAGTCTTTGCCACTTGGCATTTAAAACTAAATACATGTGCTGTTTCCAGATGCCTTTAGACAAAAGGCATTACATTCATTTCTTATTAATGTAGGCTATTATTAATTAAATAAGTAAAAATAAAAATTAAATTAAACCCCTAACTTAGCCAAAATGTAGGATTTTATAACTTGTTGAGTAAGCAAAATTCCAGTGCTCCACTGATGTTTGAGGATGAAAAAATTATTAGATGTAGGTTCTGAAAGATTCCTCTTTAAAAAAGACATGCCCTCATTGAACTAAATTCATCCAGCCTTAAATCTCAGAATCTTATTTGGGCTGGCTCAGGAATTCATTATCATCTATCCTGTAACAGTTTATTTATATATTCCTTATCACCAAGGTTTTTATTATGGTTATAATTTTGTATGTCACCTCAGAGATAAGACAGCTCCTCCCCCTTGCCTGTGCTCAACTGCAAAGCTTTTCTGCTGTGGAGCCTCTTCCAAGGACAGTTTAATGCACTTTTCAAACTTACATTCTGCATCCAAAGCACAGCAGCTGTGACTACCTTGAGGTATTGTTTCTCTGCAGAAGTTTTATAAAATAAACTCTGACCCAGAAAACTCATAAAGGTCAATGAGCTGTCAAATAAGACCGGAAACATCTAGGAACTTGTTTTTAACCTGAGGTTCACATCATGAACTTTGTTTATATCTCAAACCTCTTATTTAAGGAAAGGTTGTGATATTGATATCTCTTATGGTTACTCAGTGACTAATAAAGATTGCATTATCAGCTGCCTGAAAAACAAAATGCTATTGCTTTCTCATTAAGGGTTGCTGGGAATTTGCAATCTTGTCTAGCAAAGGCTGTAATTACTGACAAGGCTCTAAAGAGCAGCTTCCAGTAAGGGAAATCTGTTCAAAAGCCTTCATTTATCAAAAGTACAACTATATCTATATGTGTTTCTTCTGAAAACCAAGTAGAAAAATTCTCATCCCTTGGATGCAATGGGTAAGTAGTGGAACTGCTGATTTTTCTTATGAGCTTAAAGAATGCAAGAGGGGAGAAAATTTCAAAGGCAAGTCATCTCTGTTATATTTGATGAAAGCCCATGCTAGTTTGGAGTACACTTGTTAAAAAGAGAAGGAGAGAAGCAGCATGGATACATTTCTTTGTCTACTTGTGAGGATGCTGTGACTGCAGTGTAGGAGTGATGGGGGTGGGACAGTCAGGATGGATGGAGATGAGATCTCTCTGAAACCAGGTTTTGGAACTTGGGGTTTATTGCACAGGGCCTGGGTGCAGGGTCCTGCTGGGAGCTGCCAGCCACAGAGAATAAAGAGAGTGGGAAAGAGAGAGAAGGCAGGAGCGTGGTAAAGAGGATGAGAGAGTAAAAGAGGTAAAGGGTAAAAGAGAGTAAGAGAGTAAAAGAGGGTAAGAGAGCGAGGTTCCCATTACAATACCATAAATCTTCTTCTGTGTTGAATATTCTAATTCTCACTAACCAATCTAGTACAATACACAAATCCTACAGCATTTACATACAGCCTATAAGAATCATTACATTACCACACTGTGTTACATTTTAAACCCTAAAAACTCCTCTTTGGGCCCCTTCTGCAAAGCTGTAGGGTCTGCTCTGACCCTTGGGCCTGTCTGCAAGCAGAGGGTGTTGTTCCATCAAAAGGGGATTACCTTCAGCTGGCCACACCATTGTTTTCCAGTTGTTCAGTAACTGAGGGATCTCAAAGCTTGCTTTCATTTCAATCTCACTTATAGTTTCCATATTCTCAAAATCCTGTGCCAGGCAATCATATTTACAAGGCTTTCCTGTTTCACCTTCCCCAGCAGTGCAGCTGCTGTGCCTGTGGGCACACTGGGGCTGGGCAGTGCCCTGTTTCACTGTGCTCCTCCTCAGGTTCTGCTCATCCCTCTGCAGGCTCTCACTGAAAGCTCAAGGCTCTTTCCAGATCTGAAGTGGGATTTCACTTTGCTTTTCAAGAGAACTTACCAGCAACAACAGGTACAGTATGCTTTTATGATAAACAATTTCATGGTGGTAGCTAAGTCAGACTTGCCCCAATTTCCTAACTCCATATTATTAAACTAAATGCATGAGCAAAATAAATTATATGAAATAATTTTCTGTGTTAACCTGCTTACAGTGATTCATCATATCTCCAGCTAGATTTTAAAGTAAACTGGCTTTTCTGCTTAAAATGTGGCATGCTACTCTAATTGTCATTATGTAACAGTGAAATTGGAGAATAAATTAGAGAATATTTATTTATTGTATGCACTTATCTTAATGTCTGTGTGGGCATTTTGCACAGAAATATTATCAGCTACACAGTATTCTGGACTAAAAATCTACTCTGTAAACACAGCTAGTCACAATAAATTGAAATGTTTGGTACCCTCCTAGCACTAAGGGACTTTAGTTGCTAAACTACAGATGATGAGCAACATCTGACCTACAAATAATTTTCCCTTCCTTACTCCTGTGACTGTGTGAAGGGAGAAAGAAAATAATAAACCTTGTAAAATCATAAAAAAAATCAGAAAAAGCAGACTAAAAGACATGTTTAATTTCCAGTTGATAGGCATAATAGAGTATATATATTATTTGGATTACGTTGGGAAACTATTTTATATTGCAGTACTTGAGAAGAATAATGGAATATGAAGTTAGTTCATGTCAATTGTATCAGCCATGGTGTTAGTTGGTTTTATTGATTTTGTTTCATAAGCATAAAAACTTATTATCTCTTATAGAGGTGTAGAATTTAGCTGACTTCTTAGTAACATTTAAAATTTTTTAATCTACATTTTTTAATACAGTAATCAAAGGAAAACAGCAAATCATGAGGTTAACCAAAATACTACTTGGAAGATTACAGTAAAAATTCTTTTTTACTTTTAGACTTGTGTTCATTATATTATATTCCAATAATTACTGTTAAGATTTAACTACCACCAGAAAAGAAGCAGTTACTCATTACACCACTCAATAATGTTGGAAACTACAGAAATGAAAGACATATCTTGATTGGATTAATCTTGGGCTTGTTTCCATAAACCACTTTTCTTTATCATCCTACAGTTAAATGCACTACAGTGGTGTAGTTCCAGGTGCAGATCCTGCTTCTTAAAAGGAAGCTGCAAGTATTAATTGTGTGTGTTTACTGAAAAATAAAAGGAATTATTTTGGACTGAAAAGGTAAAAGTGATTTAGTGTACTGTATGGAAAGTGTAATTAATTATTTTACACATCTATGCTGCATTATCTAATTTGTCTGCTTTGGGGCTTGAAGGGTAGATTTTGAATTATCCATATTGTGGGATTTCAAATTTTGCTCTATCCTACACTGAAAAAAAAACCCTCTTTATTTAATTGTTGTTCTGTACAGTAAAAAAATGTAACACGAGCCTAGAGATATGAAAGACATTTAATAGTTTAAAATCCTAAATAAATATTTCCAGAGAAATGTGAATCAGTTCAATCTGGTTTTTAATGTGAATTTCAGAGATTAATGGAATCTTCATTGTACAACTCTGCTACTTCCACCTGTTTAATTGCACTATACAAAGTAACTGAGAGGGACTGCACTGATATAAGGCAGATGATACCAAGCCCTGTTTTAATATTGTCTGTTAAAATCTATTTAAATCTATTATTTCACAATGGCAGTGATGACTTGAGAAATGACTGCTTATTACTTTTCTTCAGTTGTAAACTGAAACTGTTTTTCTTTTATGCTGATAATGCAAATGTGCTATGAAGCTTTCCACTATGAGAGGGAAAAATACTTTTAAAGGACTCTGTTTTTAAAGGATATCTCAACACTGCAGACATAATCTTCTATAAATCTGTTCCATTTTCTTCTCTTTATTTTGCACACAGCCAATCAAAGTCACTTGTTAACAGATCAGTAAAACAGACTCAAAAGAAAACAGATCTTTGGTGTACTCATCAGATTCCCTTCATTTCCTACTATTCTGAAAACTGAGGGCTATAAATGGGGAAGTGTTCAGCCTTTAGCAGAAGGTGCTATTAAAATAAATCAACATATATTTTGATTTACAGAATCCTTTCAAATTATCAAAGATTCACACAGATTGATATCCTCCTCAGACTGATATCCTTCTTAAGAACAGCAGCAGCCATATAGAATAAATTCCTCCTTCCAAAGACCTTTCTTTGGAGAGCTGGCAATCATGGGCAGGGTTTCAGCACTCTCATTTTCATGTCACAGGAGATGGTTTGTTTCCAGCTCTGCTGGAAAGCAAGTGCTGGTGGCCCTGTGCAGGTGCTTTCCTGTCACTGACATATTTTATGAAAATCCTTTTGCTAGGATTTTTCTCCTGAGAAGCCTCAGAAAAGAAATGTAAACAGTAACTATCTGATGGCTGTGGAATGTGGTCTGGAGATGCTTTACCAACAGGTTCATCTTTGATTGGTTGCATGTGAATTGTTTTTAACTAATGGCCAATGACAGCCAGCTGTGTCGAGGCTGTGAGCAGTCACAAGATTTTATTATTCATTCTTTTCTAGCCTTCTGATGAAATCCTTTCTCTATTCTTTAGTATAGTTTTAGTATATCATTCTCATAATATAATATAATATAATATAATATAATATAATATAATATAATATAATATAATATAAATCAGCCTTCTGAAACATGGAGTCAAGATTCTCATCTCTTCCCTGGGTACCCTCAAACACCACCACACTTTCCCTTGTCCCTTCACCTGCCTGTGCTCCCCTCACCTGTTTTGCTCCAGCACCTCCTTGAGGGTTTCCTGTTTGTCTTGCAGCAGTTGCTGCAGGTGCTTCTTTTCTTGCTCATACTGAGCAGTCTTCCTTTCAAATTCCTTCTCCTGCTCACTCATCTTGAGGTTGATATCTCCAAGCTTCCCAGCTGCTTTCTTTTTATATATCTGTAAGGGTTAAAGTTAATAGAAAAAAGTGGGATTATAGGAGAAATAAGGAGAAGTCATTCCCAACAAAAGAAAGAGTTAGAGATACTGATTGTCATTTGAATCTTTACATCGATGCTGCCTTGCTCAATTATGCCAGGTAGGCTGCGTTATGGGATTTTTTTGACCTATTTCTTAATATGAAGGTATTACACTTAATTTTGTTCTGCATAAAAAACTACAGTGTACAATGAATATCATACTGTATGTCTATTTTATTAGCTGCAACAAAAGGCTTATTTTCCAAAGCTACACTTCACAGCACATGTTGCTTACCACTTGCTGAAGAGTCATACTTATCAGTACATACCATGAAAAAGTGTTTCTGTTTTGTTAGTTGTTTAATCTTAATACTGAGAGGAAGAAAAGGATATGTTTGCTTCTTTGTTACATGCTGCTTCATGTAACAGTCCTCTTGATCAGTGAAGCACAAGTGATTTTTTGATTAATGGCTATAGTAACTGAATCATTAACTAATGACTGGTCTTATCTCAAAAATAAGAAATTAGTAACTTTGCTTTCTGAACTAACATCCTCATTAAATTGCATAAGCACACAAGAAACTGAAAACTGGTTTGTGTATTGTTACACATTTCTAGATGCTGCTGCTCTTGACAATACCAAAATCCAATATTAACTTAATTTTCTCATGATTACAAATAAAATGCTAAAACTGTTATTTTTCTCTGCATATTGTGATGTTTCCTACAGGCTACAGAACAGAGTTTTGGGATAGAAACACCTCCTTTAATAAAACTGTAAACTAATTTAGTGAAGCTTTGAAAATACTGCTAATATAAAGTTTTATTTCAGGTGCTCATCACTAAGGTTTTATCTTCATCTGAATCAGGGGAGAAGGATCTAAGCTTGCCTTTTGGAGAAATTTTAAAAAGGCATTTTTAGACATGCTGTATATAAGGCTATATAATCCTTCCCACAAAGTGTTTCCTTTTAACACTTACAAAATGTGTCATTGTGAAGTTTAATTTTCTAGAGGTAATAGGATAACAACAGGTAATATTTACCTAGAATATTAGTAATTCAATATATAAGCCTGACCAACATAGGGTTTTTATCCTAACTTTTCCCTGACAGTTCTAATAGAAGAATAAGAAGCCTGAAAGTTAACCAGCACCCAGAGAAGCCTCCAAAATGCAGAGTAATGTTAAGGAAGGCTACAAGTAAACAAGTTCCTTCTGAACAGAAGGCTGCTCAGAGCCAGCCTGGAGGAAGTGCAGAGTATAGGAAACAGCTGAACCTTCTCCTGTGTCAGTAAAAGGCCCAGCACGTGCCAGGTCCAGCCAGGTGTGACTGAAATGCCCTCTGTAGATTAGATGCCTGTAATAATTTCAAAGAACAAAAGCAAACTTCCTCTCTCGACTTTATCACAAGGAAGGAAGGCTGGTGAATTGTAGCACTGGTGAAACCCTGCTTTCCATCATGTGCTGCCCATCTGAGGTGTGTGTTTTAAGCTGCACTCTGTCCTCCCCAGCCCACAGCTCTGCCCTCCTGCTCTGCCTTTGCCAACTGCAGCTGAGTCCCGTGTGCAGAATGGTTGCAAAATCAGAGGGGAAAAGTGCACATTTTTCTTCTGGCCATGTGATTATAGTCTGAAACTAGGTTTGAGTGATGCGTGGTTCTGATCTTGTCTCCATGGACAGATTATAAATCTGTAAAATGCAGCATGGGCAGGTTGGTCACACTGACACAGGCAGCTGCTGGCACTTACAGATCCTTCACATCTTTGAATTGTTCAGGATAACCTATTACTGTGAAGTGAAGCAGGTAGCAGCAAACAGACTGGTGGAGGTGACAGTTTTAAGGAGCAGGATGTTAACACATAGCTGGAAATCATAATATTTCCCTCTAGAGATGGTCATGGCACCCCATGTACATAGCAAGCAGGATGAGGAATGATCATGGATGCAGGTGCTGGTACTGAAGAGGACATAATTTACTCCCAGGTGGTAAAGAGACAGTAAAACAGACTGCAGATGATGTAGAGGAACTATGCATACACGGTATTTTTGGGTCAGGGTATACATTATGCTGTCATTCTGGGTCTCCTAGGAGGCCCTTGGCCCCTGGGTTTGTCACAGAGATCTTGGAAATGGATGATTTTGTTGCAGTCATGGAAAGATAGGTTCTATTCAGCAGGCTCAGAATGCCTGGGACACATAACCAACCTTCCTGGGGATACTAATCTCCTCCCTGATTTTTGGCAGCACTTTTGTGTCAGTGGCAGTCTGTGCAAGTCATCTCCTGAGTTCACAGCTGAGTGGAGAAGTGTCTGAAGCTGTTTCAGTTTTCTCAGAAAAGCCAGCACAAATTTGGGCACATTTCTCTCTCCTCTGCACACAGATCAACTTATGAGTGTGAAACAGAATCCAGTGTTTCCTTACCAGTGAGATGAATGCATTTCCTTTCAATTTTGGTTACACTTTCTGTTTTCTATGCAAACATGGTTAACTCTGGGAAATAAGCTACATAGTATAGAAAATAGTGACATACACCAGAATAATTCAGAGATTCTTTCCATACATCAGCTAACAACACAAAGTGTGAAACATTTTGAACACAGGAATGAAGGGAATACAGGTGTTGCAATATTATATGCTGTACTACCTGAGCCCTTGTATTTCCTGATTGGTAACTTGGGACAAAAAGAGGGGTGAATTCCTGCCCTGATAATTAAAATATTTAGGGAAAAAAATAATCCATTTTTAGGACTGACAGAACAATGGAAGCAGTTTCTTAAGTGGCTGCATTTAAAAAACCAGCAATGCTCCATGAATTTTCAAGGGTCTCATGCTGGAAAAAATCTAGAGTCTAACAAAGCAGAATGAATACTCTGAAGAGAAAAGCCATGTATGCAGCAAGACTTAAATCAATCCATGTTATCCTGATTTCAGACACAAAGCACCTTTCCCTAAGTCCACATTAATGTGGATAGGAACATGGCAAAGGAACACTGGTGACAGGAACATTGTCTCCATCAAATGTGCTGGCATGAACAACTGCTTATACAAATCAGCAAGTTCTGCAATTCTAAGAACATGCAGTTCTAAATACACTGCTCCTCAGTGATCAGGAAGTGCTAGGAACAAATCTTTATTGCTTTCTTTTCATCAATCACAATTTTGTACTCCAAATGCAATAGGGAGCAAGAGGACAGGAAAAAAATTAAGGCCAAATTAGTAAACTTGCATGAAAATGAGGGCAGTTACAGCAGGAGATGGTAGATGTCTTCAATACAAAGGTTGTTTCTGTTTTTACTAAAACCTCATGACTAACAAAATTATTATCAGATAGAGATTCAGAATGAATGAACTTCTTGTAATTATTTTTATCAACAGTGTGTGTGCATAATTTAAAGATTAATTACATTTGCAGTAAAGGAAAGGAAAAGGTGTGTAATGATGAACTGGATGCAAATTCTGTTATCAGAGATTTACTATTCACAGTTGTAAGTCCAAAACCCTGGATTGTTTTCACAGAATTTCTACTAGAAATGTTTGACTAAAATACTTCATAAAAAGACAGATTTTTCTGTGTTAGCTGTCCCTTTTGCATGAAGTTGAAGGACTCCCTGATGAGACAAACATGTCCAAGCTCATATTAAAAGAGAACAGTGCAGAATTCTGACTGTAAAGAAACAGTTTTAATACCAGAAAGATTGGCTTCCTCAAATTCTTGCCATGGATCATCAAACTGCTTGGTAATTACAATTATGAACTACAAAGAGAACTCCCAGGAAACCACAGCCAAAGTACTACCTCAGGTTATGCTGACCATGGCACGAGTCAGTATCTCTCAGTTCACAGGATCACAGAATGAATTAGCTTGGAAAAGACCTTTGTGATCATGAAGTCCAACCCATGACCTTAACACCTCCTCATCCACTAAACCATGGCACTGAGCACCACATCCAGCCACCTTACACAGCTCCAGGGACAGTGACTGCAGCACCTCCCTGGGCAGCCCATTCCAATGCCCCATCACCCTTTGTGTGAAGAACATTTCCTAATGTCCAGCCTAAACCTCCCCTGGCACAGCTTAAGGCTGTGTCCTCTTGTCCTGTCACTAAATGCCTGGGAGAGAAGAGTGACCCTCACCTGAGCACAGGCACCTTTCAGGCAGAGGGTAAAAAAGTCACCCCTGAGTCTCCTTTTCTCCAGGCTGAGCACCCCCAGCTCCCTCAGGGGTTCCTCACAGGGTTTGTGTTCCCAGCCCCTCTCCATCCTCGTTGCCCCCTCTGGACATGCTCAAACATCTCAAGATCCTTCCCAAGCTGAAGGCCCAGACTGGACACAGCACTCAGGGTGTGCCCTCAGCAGTGATGAGCACAGGGGAAGGATGATCTCCCTGCTCCTGCTGGCCACACCATTCCTGATCCAGGCCTGGAGCCATTGGCCTTCTTGGCCACCACGGCACTCTGCTGGCTCCAGTTCAGCTGCTGTTGGCCAGTGCCCAAGGTCCCTTTGTGCCTGGGCACTGCCCAGCCACTCTGTCCTCAGCCTGAAGGGGGTTTTGTGGCCAAAATGCAGGATTTGGCATTGGGACTTGTTAAATGTCACACTTGGCCCATCTATCCAGCCTGTCCAGGTCCCTCTGCAGATCCCTCCTACCCTCCAGCGGACCAACACATGCTCCCAGCTTGGTGTCATCTGCAAATTTACTGATGGTGGACTCAATCCCCTCATCCAGATCATCATGGAAGATACTGAACAGGAGTGATCAATGCCCCAGCAGAGCCCTGAGGGACATCCCTGGTGCCTGGCTGTAAGCTGGATGCAGCACCATCCCCACCACTCTCTGAGCCATCCAGCCAGGTCTGAGCCCAGCACAGAGAGTACTCATGTCCTGTTGGGATCTTTAGCTGCTCAGAGTGACCCCAAGATGTGTTAGAAAGTCTCTTTTCCCAGCCTGGCACTCGAAGAAGCAGTCAGGGCTCTTCATTTCTCAGTCTCAAGGTTGTTTATTGCATCTTATCTATAAAATTCTTTCTCCTGCCCTGCCCAGGTCCATCCAGCAGGACAGTTCCAGGCACTCTGCCTGCCCCCAGGGCAGTGTTATGGCTTTATACTAAAAACTATGTGTGCAATGTTTACAATTACTTTCCAATACCTGTAACCTATGTTAGACAGTGAGCTTCTACTCTAAACCAATCTGTAAGTGCCACCATCACAGCAGAAGATGGAGGCCAAGAAGAAGAAGGAGAAAGGCTGGACACGCCCAGATCCCCCCATCTTGTCCCCTGAATCCCCATTCTAAAAACCCCAAAAAATCTATTTTTCACCCTGTGATAAATTCACTATCATTCTACTTAATTTGTCATGGCTTGCAGATCTTCATCTGAGGTTGGTAATTTGCTCCATGGGTCATAATCAAACCCACAGGTGTTTTGGGCTCTGTGCCAGGGTCTCTGAGCCCCCTGGCAGGGGTGTTGGCAGTCCAGGACAGCCAGAGGGATGTCCTGGGTCCTGCCACTGTCCCAGCCCTGGGCTGCAGCTTTTCCAGGAGGGAGCTGTGGGACACAGTGCCAAAGGCCTTGCTGGAGTCCAGGTAGACACATCCCCAGCCTTCCCCACTGTCATAGACACATTTTATGAAAAATCTTTTTCTTAGGATTTTTTCCCCTGAGAAGCTGAGAGGCCTCAAGAACAAAATGTAAGCAATGGTTATCTGCTGCTGTGGAATGCAACAGGTGCATCTGGGATTGGTCTCATGTGGTTGTTTCTAATTAATGGCCAATCACAGTCAGCTGGCTCAGACTCTCAGTCAGTCACAAGACTTTATTATCATTCCATTATTTTCCTTTGCTTGCAAGCTTTCTGATGAAATTCTTTCTTCTATTCTTTTAGTATAGTTTTAGTATATCATTTTCTTTAATATAATACATGTATCATAAAATAATAAACCAGCCTTCTGAAACAGAGTCAACATTCTCATCTCTTCCCTCGTCGTGAGACCCCTGTGAACACCACACCCCACATCCACAGGTGGGTCACCTGGTCACAGGAGATCAGGTTGGTCAGGCAGGTCCTGCCCCTCCTAAACCCACGCTGGCTGTTTCTGATCCCTGGCCACCCTGTGGGTGCCCTGTGCTGGCACTCAAGGTGATCTGTTCCATAACCTTGCTGGGCACCTGGAGTTCCCCAGAGCCTCCTTCCAGCCCTTCTTGGGGATGGGCTCACATTGGCTCCTCCAGTCCTCTGGGACCTCCCTGTTGAGCCAGGACTGTTAGTTTTGTTTTTTCAAAACTTTTGAGGATAATCCATACATAAGTCTTTCACATAACATTGGCAGAGATTAACTACTTTTCTCATTAAAAAACCCCAAACATTTCACAATAGATATTTAGCTTAGAAACACTGCTTACCTTTACTTTTTCTTCCAATCTTCCTAAGCGCAGGCTGCCTTCTATAATTTTCTTGAGAACACCCTGATTCTCATTTTCCAAACATCTGGCCTGCAACCATGCAGTAAACAAAGCCACATGTAACACTCTGTCTGTTTGTCAGGGCAGACGAAATGCACACACTGAGGGAAGCAGCAATTTCATTTTGAACTCCCACTGTCAGAAGAACCAACATGGATAAAGGGTCCTGGAAATTATTCTCAGAACAGCTCATTAATAATTTGTCAGCTGACTGTGAATACTATGCAGCAGTATTATTCTGAAATGAAACATACTGTAAACCCAACCAATTCTGTGGGTTTTCCTACAAATCTAAGTATGCATTAGTAGGGATCCCATTTTATGCACAAGACCCATCCTTTAGGTCACATTTAGCAATCTGCTCTCAAACAAGCCCTTGAATTTGGCAGGGGTTCAGGCAAGGATATTTTTAATATGGCATGATTAATATTTAAAAGCAGATATCCCAGAGATTGAGATCTAAGAATTCAGTTCCCCCAGTTTCTAGGATACATTTGTTGTGCCCAGTTTCAATCCTGAAGCCCAGGTTGTAGTGGACAAGGATTTGAGCTGTGTCACCATAGCTCTCTCCTAGAATTAGGAATTAACTGCTCTATCTTTTTATCCAATGCTGATGACAACCTTTGTCTGCTACCTGAACAACAAGCAAAAGAAGCTTTATTTTTACAAAGTTTTGTGAAATTATTTCAGATTCAATCTGAAGACAAAAGCATGAATATGAAAAATTGAAATTGTGCCCAGCATCCTGTAAAAGAAACAAAATGAGTTTACAAAAGGCCCAGAAACCTCCATGCCAGGCACTTCCACTAAAGAGAAGTTGTTCCAAAACTCTCAATCAGCCTGTCAAAATGACTGCAAACCAACAAGGAGCAATAATATGCATCCACAGCAGACAGTCCATACAGATAAGGATAACAGTCCACCCTTAAGACTCAAAACAAATATTAAAATTTTATGATTGTGTGCAATTTTTAAATACATGTAGCTATTTCTAAATACATGAGCTATTTTGAAATACATGTAACATCAACTTCTAAAACTGGGTTAAAAAAATCTTTTAAACTTGCCAAGTGCCATTTCAGACCCTAATGCTTATGTTATTAAGACTTAATTATATTACCTCCAGAAAAAAGGGTAGTTGCTTTTAATTGCTCCTCTAGAAAAAAATCTTTCATTGCTCCTATCCTATTTGCTAAAGTCTACTTAAACAGAGCTAAATCCTTAAACTGGAATTACAGCTTTATTCTTTGATAATTCAGATTAATAATAACTTGTGCCAGTAGCATGATAACTGTATGAAATAGGAATTAAGTCACATTAATTATTTAAAGGTAATTACCAAAAATACAAGATGATCACGTTCTTTAGCTATCTTCTCCACCAGCCCAATAAGGTTTGCTAGATAGTGATGGGCTGCAACTTCTTTTTCCATTGCTTCCTCCAGCTGCACTTGCAAAAGACCAATTTTCTTCTTTAATCGTCTGTAAAAGAAAAGGGAAAATCTTTGGATTGGGAATTAGCAATGGCCTTAAAAAACTTGTATCACACATGCAAATCAACATGTACAAGTCTCAAACAATCATACATACTGTTAAAAATGCACTGGCTCAGAATATTTGCAGTGCCAATAGCACTATGTTCCAATTTTTGGGGCTGTTTTTTCTTTACAAAATGTTATCTGAATAACAACAGTAACAATGGTGCAAAAGAACAGTTTGTGCAATGGCTACAAGCTCATATTTCTTAAGATATAGAATAACAATACTGTATTTTTAAAATGTTGTGAATTCCTCTCTAAGCAACCAGGTGCATAAGAAGATCTGCAAATAGTAAAAGTCTTATTCTTTTGTAACTGCAAATTGGGTATGTCTACTCATCTTATTTTCACATAAGTTCACCTAATGATTAATTGCTACAGCTAACTACTAACTACTAAATTAAAGATATATTCCTAATTTGCAAATAGACACAGAAAAGTGAGCATGAAAACACAAAAATTAGCAAAACTTGACAACCAGGCCTCTAGACATGACAAACATGTTCAGATAACATGGGTTTTTTTGCAGTAGGTAGAAAATACACATTATGGGAAGTCAGACAAGATTTTTACAGATATTTCTGTTGTTTTTAGAAATACAATTATTTCTGTACAAGAAAATAAGACCATTATAAGACCTGTTTGTCTTTTGAGTCAACTGCATCTCAGTTTCCAGGATCTTCTTGTCAGCCATGAAGTTATTTTTCTCTAAGAGCAGTTTCTTGTTTTCACTTTGCAGTGATGCCATTTTTCCCATTACTGCTTCCACCTCAGAGAGTTTTTTCTCCTGCTCCTGCTGTAAACAACTGCAAAAACCAACAGTGTAGAACAGGTATCATGCACAGATCTACATCACTAAAATGCTGAGTTACAGGAAATACCCATGTTGAAATTCTGAAATAAGATACACTGAGAATGCTCAATGTTCCCTGGTGACATCAGAGAGGTATTACAATCTCACATCAAATTATTCAAGTAATTCCTTCTGACTTCACTTAATTTAAATAATAAAAATATGCTGCCCAGATGTAATCCCTTTGTGTTTCTTTTTCTTTTCAAATAAATTACTATCAACACCAAAATACAAGATGTGAGGACTTCTCAGGATGGCACTGTACCATGAAACAGTAACCAGCATTATCCAAAGGCTTGAGAGCATTCAAATATATGGAATGTCTTCACAGAAACATTACTCTGCAGTAACCAGCACTGTCCAAAGGCTTGAGAGCATACAAATTTATGCAAAGTCTTCACAGAAACATTACTCTGCAGATTATGCTGCACAGCAGCACTTTTGAGTTGTGATGTTTCATGTAATTTCCATATAGTAACAACTGAAGAAACTTAGAACATCTAGCTCAGAATTTCAGGATTCTTTAGACATGTTCCAAAGAACACAAGAATGAAAATGTTTTTTATATAGTAGTGATAGAAGCAAATAGATTTGACAAAAATGGTATTTTTAATGCCTCCTCTTCTACTATTCAAAATGGTACAATTAGCAGTAGGTACTCTATGGTAAAAACACTTCTGCCAATATTTCTAGAACTGGGATTTTGTAATTGTAAATGTCTCTAAAAACTAAGACTGTTTTTTAAAGACTTCTTTCCCTTTTTTTTTTGTGCTTTGGTGGTTACCTTGCTGAATTACCAGCATAAATTTCCTCCCCACAGAGTGCTGTGTGTCATGTGCATGCCTTGCACCATTGTTTCTCCATATGTGCACCCTATATAAACTCACACCTTTTTAAATCATTCACCACAGCCAAGTGCTCCTTTTCTGGTATTCTGCTGTCCACTTTGGCTTTCAGCTCTTCACATGTAGAACACAAAGCTTCCAGCTGCTTCTGGTACTCTGCTATTTCTTTCTCTTGGCTCTTGTTCTTATCTTCTAAGATTACTATTTGTTTGGTCAACTTTGAAGCTTTTGGAAAGAGGGGAAAAAAAGTCAATTGTGTATAGCAGAACTAATTCAAGCACTGAGTGAAACTTCAACAAAACCATTACTACATTCATTCCTAGTTGTGTACAACATTACGTAACAGAAAATTTGTCAGTTTGTGTTTTAACAGTTTGGACTTGACATTTTGCTGTCTCAAGAAACTTGTTTTGGAATAGTGCAGAAACTTCAAGAGTACTTCTTTTCAAGGCTATAAGCTCACTGAAATGTCATTTTACTCTGAAAAATTCTGATTCAGTTTGAAGTGCTCTTCAATTATGCTAAATGATTGTGCTGCTGCTAAACAGTTCTCATTTTTTCAGAAGTTAAAATGGAGTATTTTTTATAGTGTAAATAGGTGATAGTGACATTTTTTTAAAGTATCAGTTGACATCCACAGCTTGATCTCCTATTAATGTTACCTACATTCAAGGACACTTTTTAGACATACATAAAGTTGCAAAAAAACCCCCAGCCAACCAAAACCAAAAAAAAAAAATTACAACAGAAAACAAACAAAAACCCTCCAAAAATCAAAACCTGCAGTACCACCTTTAGTGTAATTCAGATGAATAGCAACTCAAGCACTTTTACCTTCTTGGACATGCTGTCTGTGACTATCTTTTGCTTTAGCTTGTTGAATTTTGAGTTGCTCCATCAACACTGTGTTTTCTTCCAAGACAAGCTTGGCCTGAGTTTGTAGCAGCTGCCTGCAATGATAAATGTAAATAAAATATAACTCAGATGTTATGTCCAAAGAACAAACACAACTGATTGTCAACAGTGTAAACTTAAAAAATCATATTTGAACCTCTTTAAAAAGCAGATTAAAAATCCTTATTGAAAGCAAAAAAAAAACTTCTTCAACCTCCTTGTGAGCAGAAGCTCACCCACAGTACACTGACAGCAGGATGAAAACTGCAGTGGCAGAAAATTCTCTGGGCAGCAGGTCTGCATCAAAACCATCCCTGTGCACTCCCATCCCAATTCCAAGAGAGAGAGGAGCTGAATCCCAGCCAAAATCTCCAGGGATCTCTGCACTTCCCAAGGGAAAGCCCCTCAGCTGAGAGCCTGCAGTCAGCTGCACTCTTCCTCCTCCTCCTCCCAGCCACATCTTTCAAGTATCAGTCATTCCCATCTCTTAAGCAACAAATGGGAGAAAAAAAAAATAATAAAAAAGGAAAAATCCTAACCTCCAACAACTACTTGACTTCATTATGCACTGTCTCACTTAATTTCATTTGCATTGTCTCACTTCTCAAAAACATCAAATTCTTCTAATGCCACATTCCAGTGCTATTTTGTATTAGTGGAAAACTGATGCCATTGGCACACTGTAAAGGTATGTAACCTGCAATACCTAGGACAGAATTACATGGGCTTCCCCTGCAAAACTCCACATTCATATTTAATCTTTACTCCAAAACTGTTCCAGGCATTGCAGATCAGCATTGTTCCAATACGACAATTGTGATGCTATTAATTCTTCAGAAAAACACTGTTTACAGACAAAAAAAATTTCCTTAAGATCTGTAATTTTAAAAGTTCGCATGCAGTAAGCAAAATAATTTTAAACTTTGAAATTAATTTCTAGGAATATAACTTGCCATTCTGTTGGGGAAATGCAGTTATTTAATTGCCCATGCAAATCTTCATTCTCCTTCACCAACTCTTCAACTCGTGCTTTAAAATTCTTCATATCCTCCTGGAAGACAAAGGATTTCATATAAAGTTCTTTATAATTATTTTGCAAAAACATGCTTAGGTGCCTTCTAGTTCTTATCATAATAGAATATTATTTCAGTACTCACTCATCTCTAATTCAGGTATGCATATTTGATTTCTAAATTGTTTCATTAATCTAGTAATATTTGGTTAAAATAATACTGATATTGTGGCACAATTTTACAAGTTGCAGACCCTCAGAAGAATTCTGGAAATTACTGGATGACATTATCCATTTTCAGTAGGAGTGACATGGATTTGGACATGGTAAGACAACACAGTGAATTTACAGTAATATAAAAAAACCCTTGCTGTTTCCTGCTTATTTTATGGCTGAATTTTTTGAAGGAAATACTTTTTTTTTTAAAACCCAGGAAAGTTGCACTCTGAAACAAATAGCTATTTTTTCAAAGATTCAGTGACAAAAAATACTTCTAAAAAGCAAAAAGAGTACCTAATCTTTTAATACCTAGAAGTATTCTTCTGCCACAAAACCCACAAGCAGCTACAAGAGCACTGAGTTCCCACTATGAATTTAGGACTAAATTCTTTCTACCACTGAGCAGTTTATGGTTTGTTCCATTTTTAGAGCATATCTTACACATGTCAGTGTAGTGCATGCTCCTAAATGCGAACAGGCTGATAAAAACAACCAAGCCAAGAGACAGCACAATACTAAGCATGGACAAGTAAAACAAAGTTGCTTTAAATTTTAGGCAGAGAACATCACAGGCAAATCCCTTTAAAAAATTCAGTAATTTATTTCTGCTTTAGTGGATATTTTTTCTAAATGGCAACTTGCCTCATGTTCAAGAATAAAATCTTCCTTTTCTCTTATTCTATCTTCATATGCCAACAGAAGAGGTGACAAATACTTCATATCCAACTTAAAAGAAAATTAAAAAATAAATACGTGTAGATTAATTACAAGCACACAGACCATTATATACAGAATGATGCTGCAGAAACACCTCACAGTACTGTGTTAGCAGCAAGCTTTGGAAAGGAAAAGACCTCATGCTTCACTTGCATCCTTCTTCTAAAAAGCAGCTTTAACTTACCACTATATGTAACACAGCAGATTAAGGATGCAAATGAATACAAAATAAGATTCAAACACTTTAGTGAATATAATGCTAAAAAAAATTATCCCAGATTCATTAGTAAGTGAGAAGGGAATTTTTACACTCTCAAATCTGAACCATTAAGACTAAATACATTCATATGTGATTATTGGCTATTTTGGCTAAAAAGAGAGAGCAGGAGAACTTTCCCACTCTGTACAGTTCTCAGTAACAGTGAGGAAGGAAAATATCAGATCTGTTTAGTATTTCAAGGAGAAATTGCTTTTACATATTACAAATGCATTCCCTTTCACAGACTATTTCCTTCTCCTTGTCAGAAATTCATAGGCTACTACTGGATCCATGACCATTCCTACAATCAGAAATATTCTGTTTTCTTTTAGTACGATCACAAAAAAAGCAACAACAAAAGAACACCAATTAAGACTAACAATTAAAATTACCAATTAAAATTACCAATTAAGCAATAGACCTTGAAAGACCTTGAAGCAAACTAAATGCTAGACAATTCCAAGTGAGGATGGCATTTATGATTCTCAGCATGACAATACTTTTCAATAGTTCAAAGTTGGTGACTATGAGGAGTTTGTAGCTTACTGTACACATTCAACTGGAACTGCACACATTCATAACAAAGTTCTGCCATACATATTTTTCTGCCACAAAAGAAATGTTTATAATAGTCTATTAGTATGTGATAGTTCAGCAGAGTAATAGCTGAATACTTTGATTCCAGTAAAGAAATTCTACTTCTTTAGAGAGGAATGAACAGTTAAGTGCAAATATTATTGGACTTACCAGCCATGGTGGTTGTGGTCCTTCCATGGGTAAGCTTTTCAGCTTTGCATTCTAGAATAGATAATTAAAAATATATTGACATTACTTCCTGCTTTTTGAAGCACCAGAAACTGTCCACTGCAGTCACAATTATCATCCCAAACAAGCTTATTACATATGTTCCATAAGTAACACACACCCAATAAAACCGAAAATCCAGTATGTTACTGATACTAAATAATACTGAATTCTTAATATTAGACTTAATGATAAAGGCTTTTTTTTAAATTTCAGAGAAAGCCTGTGCAATTTGTAGACTTTATGGCAAATCTGAAGAAAACAGTAATAAAAACTCAAAAGATTAAACAGACAATGGAACATTTCAGTAGTAATTATAATGAAGATAATGAAGATTGATAATGATAATGAATAATAATTGATTAATAATGACAATTGATAATGAAGATTCTCACCTCTTCTTGGGACAATGACCTGAATTTAGTTTGATAACGACTTAATTCCACATTTAAACGATGGACCACTGTTTTCAAAGCATCGTTTTCATCTACCAGCTCTTGTGCTTGTTGTCTGAGAGAAAGTAATTCTGTTGCCTCCCCTATTAAAACAAAAATCCAACAAGAAAGTTTCATTAAAATTCAAGACACGTTCACAACAATTTATTAATTGTAATGAAGAAAAATTAAATAAGTTAGAATAACAACCAATAACTTCTCTCAAAGAGAAAGAAAAATTGAAAAATCCCATGAAAAACTACTAGCAAAAAATCCATTCTATTTCAAACAACAAGTCATTTTTTTTTAAATTATCATGTACTTATTCCTTGACAAAATTTCTACAAATGTAGAAAATACTATTTGGAAACTACTTCTGCAAGCAAACTTGCCTAAATCAATGACTTGAAACCTGCTGCTAGGGGAAAAGGTTGTAAGAAATTACAAAAATTGAAACAAGATAAATACAGAATACCTTATATGTTTCTCCCACCTTCTCTATGTGAGTTCTCTGCAGCTTCTTTAAGTCTTCTGTTTTCTTCTTCTAGCATCTTCAGCTTTAATTCCTGTTCTTTTATGAGCTGTTTTGTTCCCTCAAATCGCTGGACCACAGCTTGGTATGCCTTTTTCAGAGACCAGTTTTCTTGTTTTAGTTCTCTGAACTTTTCTTTGCTTATATTTTCCCATACTTGCCTTGCCCGAGCAGACACATCTGTAATGCCACAGAACAAGGTATTTAAATACAGGAACAGGAATTTCAGCAATAACAATCCATTCTTTCTAATATTAACATTATATTGAGTGATACTTTAAGATCTAGATCAGTATCCAGACTGAATAGGAATTTCAGCAAATTACAATCCATTTTCTCTAATATTAACATTATATATTAATGATACTTTATAAGATCTAAATCAGTATCCAGACTGGAATTGCAGTTTCAGCAAATTTAAATCTATTTTTTCTAATATTAACATTATATATGAGTGATATTTTATAAGATTTAAATCAGCTCATGGCTCAAGATAAGACTAGGGAAAACAAAAAACCGTGGATTTGGAAAGAGAGCTGTGAAGTGGCTGCAATTTCCCATCTTTTCTCTCAGACACTAAAAATTGTCATTCTTTTAATGAGTTTTGTGCCCTGCAGGGACTGGTCAGTATTCTTGATCCCTGCAAATTTTAACCGCCCATACAATGCAAGTTTACATTCCTTCCCACTGAACAGCTTCAGTGTTATTGAATAGAAGTTACTGACCAATTCTTATAAAAGTAAACTTTCAGATTTTCAGCAAAACTCTGGATAAGTTGTTGCATCAGTAAAAGCGATTTTCATATACACATGCATATTAATAAAGTGAAAATGTCTAGCAAAGTCATTGAAAAATCCAAAGTACCTGGGGATGGTGGAGGTTTGTCATGTACCAGATTTTCAGCTACTGATTTTTCCTCCTAGCAAAGAAATAAAAAATAAGATAATCTGCTTTAACAGCATCACTGCTGAAGAACTTAAATAACATTTTTGAAGGAGTTTATTTTATATCAACTAAACTGAATGCTGGATTCACTGCTAATAATACTCAACTTATCATCTACTCATCTAGACATCATTTTATCAATCACCACTGCCATCAGTCACTTGTGGACACCTGAAACTCACTATTATCTTTAGTAGTCAGAAATGTACAGTTCTCAAAGCAATTATTTTACAGCTGACATAAAAGTCACAAACAGAAAGCTTCTTGATGAAACAGGAAGGGTACAGAATAAGAGTACAGAGTAAGACTTTAAAGTAGTCAATTATGTCAGTCTCTAACTGGGTATCAGCAAATCAATAAAAATGTTGTCTGTTAAGTGTTTTTCAGAGTTGAAGAACTTTGTTCTTGCTTTGCTGGAAAAAAAATTGAAAATATTTGTACATTTTCAGAAGGGAAAGAATTACAGTGTCATTTATGCTAATGTATTTACTTGAGGTGAAGGTGATGTAGAGATTTCTCCATGTTTTTATGAAACAGCAGTAAGTTTTGTAAGGATATGCTGTCATGTAATTTAACACATTGATGATACGAGTGACACCAATGATTAAATGAGACAAAACTCATGAACAATTTCAAAGAAAAAGATATGTTGCTAAGAACTTGTAAAAAAAGTTCTGATAACAATGGAAGAACTGACCATTTCCATAAACAATCTTCTGGCAAGTTGATCTGAGAAACTAAATTTTTGGGTATTCCTTTTCAAGCTTATGAAGCAGTCAGATCAGTTCAAATAGAAAACTGTACAAAAATGCAATAAAGTCAGGCTCAGAGTTTGAAAATTAACAGTATGAGCTATCCCTTGCTATAGCATGTTGGGTCTCAAGTTTCTTTCTTTCACATGAGAAATAACAGACAATATACTAAAAAAAAAAGAAAGCAAACAGCTTTTGTATGGCTCATTTACCTATATAGTAGCATTTTTTCAAAAGGAATGATTAGCCATTTTTTTATTCTAAAAGAAAAATATTCCATAGTGGCAATAAATTAGTTTTCTTTTAAGTGACCTCAAACCTATCAGCTTTTTATGACAAGCTATTTTCCAAAATGCATCATAAATCAACCTTTATAAAAGTCTTACCTTTAAATTCAAGCCCAGATTTTGGTCTTCTGTTAAAGAAAAACAGATCTTTCAGTCAATTAGAACAAAAATTATTTTAAGTCCGTAAGCTCTAAGGGTTCACAAGGATATGTATGCACACATATAATACATGCAAACAGATGTAAGAAAGTCCTTCCCAAAGCACAGATTAGATCACTAATTTTCCATTAACTGTTTCATGGTGTAGCAGGACACTGATGTGAGACCTCAATTTACCTCACAGTGGATAGGTGCAAGTATGGAAGAAATGAAGCTGGCTTCTGTGATAAATTCAGAATTTAACTGAAGAAAAAATGAAATATTGTCACTGATTTTACTGGACTCGAATCCTACTGCATCTCTGAACAAAACAAGTGTAATTCTGACAGCTTTCAAGGCCTGCAGCAGTTATTATGTACAAGAAGGATTAGAAACAGTTTATATATCCTACATTTTCAGTTTAATGCCTTCTCTTCCCAAATGGTTTTATCAAAGCAACCATTCTTTCTGAATAGTGTTCTCTATGAAATAGAGAAATAAATAGAGAAATTAAAATAGAGTCCACTGAAATCATACTGAAAAAATACTGGGATCCAACATGAATAAAATTTAGAAAGACATAATTTTTTGCAAATTGACTCAGTTTTGCTTCCTCTTTCCTATCCACTAGCTAGAGAGTGCTACCATCTGTGGGAGATAAGAAAAATCTTATAAAATAAGGGCCTGAGAGGCCTCTGTTCAGTTCTGTTCATTTCTGTCACCTCAACTCATGGGAAAGCACTGTGGGAAAGCCTCAGCTAAGGGGACGGCAAAAACCAAGTCACAGAACCTAAAAACCAAGTTGTGTAAACAGAAAACAAGCCATGCAAGCAGTGTGTGCTCAGCTCCTGTTTGGGATTCTCACTGGTCAGGGCACACAGGGACACTGTGATCAAAAAGGGGATGGGGTACAGGAACATGAGAACAGCAGCACCTGCAGGGGCAGGCAGCCACTGCATGTTTTTTCTATTCCATGGGAACAGAAACAGGTAAGAGTTTGCCCTCTAAATACAGCATTAAAATGTTTTTTGCAATAAACCATCTTCCTTTGCAGCTGCTATGGGGAGTCTGTGTTTTTCATTCATCATTGCTACAACCATCCTCTGTAAAAACTGCATTTTTCAGCTCCAAAACTAATTCTTCTTTCCCTATTCTTGATTTGAAAATAACAGACAAGATAATTATGCAAGAAAACTGCTACACCAGTAGATTGGTGCTGCTCTATTGTTATAATTTTTTTCCACAATATTCTATTGTTATAAGAAAATTGCCTAAGGACAGATCCAGTAACAACCCAAACGTCCCTAATCTAATGAAATTACTTATTGAAAAAAATTATTTGTGAATCTTAACAATTCAGTGCTTAGGTTCATATTCTGAGACTGATTATCATGTTTATTTCTCTATTCTGAAGAAACATCCTGACACCAATAATGATACAACTTTTGCAGAAGGTATAACAACACTACTATCATGCCATTTGATTATTTAAAAATTCAGTTAGTTTTTACTACTGTTTTTCAGACAAGTAAAATAACTGATTAAAATGTCTTCCTCTATCTCTAGCTTTTTTTTTTTTTTAACACAGTAGCACTCCAAAAAGTTCCAGCTTACAAACCTGACTGTTTCTGGCACATATATCAACAAAAGCATAGTAGAGAATGACTGCACTTTACAAGACAAGACTTCACAAAACCTTTCTCCCCATTTCTTCATTTAACAGTGGCTGACAGTTCAGTGAGTATAGACCAATCTTTCCTCTTTATGCAGGATTTTAATTTTCTATAACTATTAGAAACTGCTAAGTACTTAGTAGCATTTCTTTAATTGCCATTATAAAAAAGGAATATAATATTACAATATAGTATTACATTTCTTTTATTAATTTTTTCCCAATGTTATTAAAAGCATAGCATTTTGACTTAAAGTAAGTTTACTTACCTTCTACTTGTACACTTGACCTATCCACCAGCACCTGACACTCAGTTTCATGGGAAGGAATTTCTTTCTTGTCAGCATTAGGAATAGGAGATTGTGGAAACTCTTCCTATGTAAAAATAAGACAAACCTCTCAGATCACTGGTAAAACAGCCCATGTACCTTGATATCTGTATGAAACATTTAGAGTATTAACATCCCAGTCCTATTCAGAATTCACTGATATTTTAAAATAGTAAATGATAAGATTTCTTTCTTCTCTTGATTTCTTGGGGTTCTTTGGTGTTGCTGTTGTTTAGGACCCTATGTAAATAAAATCTAAACCTTAAAATGATCAACAGGAGGTTAGCAAGTATGAAGTGATTAGTTCAAGTACTCTCTGTCACCTTTTTTGGTTACAAGAGCCCATGAAATTATTCTCTGTTTCCTTGCCTGCTGTGGCATATATAATCTCAATTATCAACCATTTATCTGCTGTATCACTCTATGAGGGATGAATGAACCATGAATGAACCACAATTAACATTATCTTTGCTGGTTTGCCCACTGATCACACACCACTGTTCCACATATTCTACTCATTCCATCCCCCTTTTTTTTTTTTCTTCCCCTTCTGTGGTATTTTCTGTGTTTCTCATCATAGGGACGAAATGATGAATTTGACTCTATGTTTTTAAAAGGCTAATTTATTATTTTATGATACTATATTATATTAAAGAATACTACACTAAAGTTATATTAAAGAATGGAGAAAGGATTCAGACAGAAGGCTTAACAAGATACCAATGAAAAACTCCTGACTCTCACCAGAGCTCCAACACAGCTGGACTGTGATTGGTCATTAAGTCAAAACAATTCACATTAAACTAATCAAACAATGACCAGTTTGATGATGATGATGATGATAATAACAGTAATAATAATAGTAATAATAATAGTAATACCTAAACTACATTCTAAAGCAGCAAAACACATGAGAAGCAATCAGATAATTATTGTTTTCATTTTTCTCTGAGGCTTCTCAGCTTCCCAGGAGAAGAAATCCTGGCAAAGGGATTTTTCAGAAAATGTGACAGTGACACCCTTCCCTCCTCTTACCAGCTACTGTCTCTGCACCTTTGGTGTTTTATGGATTCTTTCACATTTTGGGATTTGTGGTGTATATTCTAAGACTGATGGTCATACCTTACTGGTGCGGGGTTTTTTTGAAGAGGCATCTTTTTAGAGATCTTTTATTGCCTTTTTCCTACTCAGGTACCTCTTCCTGTTTGTCAAATTTTTGTCTCATTTTTTATTTAACTTTAATGTGCCTCTGGAGTATTAAATTCATTACCGTTTAAGATAATCCAAAATTATAGCATACAAAAATTGCCTGGTCTTCAGGAAAAGGTTATTTATTTTGTTTGATTCTGAATCTTCCCATTTCTATATAGGCCCGTGCCCTTTAGCACAATACTGAACCCTTAACTAAGCTTTCACCATCTAATAGTAAAATTACTACTGCTTTTAACAAATCATCTACTGTGTGTAAGTAACATGCTCAATATAAATTATTGGACATTTTACAAGACTATGCATCATTATTATATATAATATAATTATGCATGATAATTATATGCAATACCAGTGTGCTCCTAATAACCAGAGAAACTCTGTGACAATCAACAAATCTAGAAAATTCATGTAAGAGTAAATGAATCACAAAAATTAGCATGTGAAATAAATATTGAATACATGTGTGAAGAGTAAGAAGAGAATAAAAAGCATCTGAGATATGAGTATGCATTAATATATTAAAACATGGTAAAGGAACTAATGCATTTAAAAATCTTACCTTTTTAGTTTTGCAGGGAACAGAATAAATAGCATTGGAGCTAAAGCTTCCTTCCCTTTTCTCATTACTCTGGCAGCTGGACTCTGCCTCTTTATCAGCATCTGAAAGATATGTATCCATGTCCTCATCTTCACCATAATTGCCTGATATTTCCAGGGACTGCAGAGGAGATCGGTCACAACCATCGAGGTTCCAGTTAGATCTGCAAAAAGCAATTTAATCATTTAATGCCTGTTTCAGCACTGCCTATTCTTCAAAACAACCCAACACTAGTAAAGTAGACCCATCAGTCTTACAATGTACACAAGTCCAAAGAGACACAGAGACATCTAAGCTTCCCTTCATTCCTTGTCGGCTGAACAAGGAACGAAAGCAGAAACAGGACAGCAAGCAAGAGGCAGCAGAAACTCTGCAGCTGGGAGTTTCTGTAGCTGAACTTTTTAGCTCCTGGAAGGGAGGGGCAAAACAGCTCCAGTGTAGGGAAAACCCCAGAGCAGCAGCCCTGGCTCCCAAACACAGCAGAGACTCCCCAGGACTGCTCAGCGGCACTGGCTGGTGCCTGGGGCTGGGCTGTGCAGAGCTCCTGGTGGGCACACACTGGTCCTGGGCTTCCTGAGAGCAAAGCAGCAAAAAAGGCCAAGCTGGCAAGCTCAGACACAATGCCAAAGCAAAAATAACAATAATAAAAAAAAAAAACAAAAAACAAAAAACAAAAAACAAAAAAAAAAAAAAAAAACCAAAACAATACGAAACAAACAAAAAGAAACCAACCAAAAAACAAACCCAAAAGAAAAAAACCCTAAAGAAAAATACCCTAAAGAAAAAAACCCTAAAGCAAAAAAACCCTAAAGCAAAAAAACCCTAAAGCAAAAAAACCCAAAGCAAAAAAACCCAAAGCAAAAAAACCCCAACCAACGAGCCAAAAAACAAAACCAAAAAAACCCCAACCAACCAAAAACCAAAAAACCCAGAAAAAAACCAGAACCCCCCCCCCCGCCAAAAACCCCCAAAACCCAAAAAAATCAAGAAAAAAACAACCACAAAAAGAATTAGGCAAACCCCACAGAAACAGCAGGATCCCTGGTCAGTGTGTCCAGTGGAACAAGCCCATGCCCCTCGCTCCACCCCAAACTTCCTCTGGACACCCCAGCTCAGCTCCATTCTTCTCAACAGCCCCAGAGCCAGGGAGGGTGGGGGCTGAAGCAGGGACAGCAGCCACCCTGGGCACAAACTAAACCAAACAGATCAAAAACCCCAAATGGTATGGGATAATAAACCATCTCCAAGACAGTGTCAATGTGTATACTCTAAAGCAGATAATTAACACTGGTACTACCTTCTCCTCTCTATCTTAAAATGACAGATTAGAGATAGAAGGTTCTTAATTCTACCAAAAAGACAGTTTGAAATAATCATTTTAGCACAAAGGAAACATCTTGCATGTAATTCAAGTGATTCCTCAGTGCATCACATTCTGTAGAACTGATCATTTGACAGGAATGGTATGTGATTTTACTTATGACTACAATCAAAATCTGCCTCTTTGAGAATTGTATGTGTGACTCCATTTTACAAGAAACAGAATAAGGATTGTTAGAGACTTCAGACTGAATTTATGGTTTGGTAAGAAAAAAGTAAGTAGCTGTAACAACAGCTGTAACAAATTTTGCCAGTTTGCTGTCACTCTGGTAAAATTGATCACTAAGAGATTCCAAGGTATCATTTATCATCACAATTTCAGGTATCAAACCAGAAAGCATACACTACCCTATTCCAAGCTCTGTGACTGTTGCATATGGCTCCAAACATTCTTGCTCCAAGTAGGTGGAATCACCTTCAGAAAGGGATCTCTGCCGAGGCTGAGGAATAGCAACAGTGCGCCCTGTTAGTGCTGTTGCAAGGATTGCTGCTGCTAGAGCAGACCTGCAAGGAAACACAATAAAGCAATGAAGCAACATTGGTGCTTTCTCTGTGCTCCACATTTTATAACTTTTCCTTTGCAAGATGTCTTCATTATTTAATCAAAGCAAAATGTTCACAGTTAACAAGTATAAATACCAGTGAATGCTGTGGGATTGGTTATAAACTATAACCTCCTGTCGCAGACATCTTTTATGAAAAATCCTTTCCTTAGGATTTTTTCTCTTGAGAAGCTGGGAGGCCTCAGGAACAAAATGTAAACAATGATTATCTGCTGCTGTGGAATGCAACAGGTGCATCTGTGATTATCCCATGTTAGATGTTTCTAATTAATGGCCAATCACAGTCAGCTGGCTCAGACAGAGAGTCTGAGACACAAGCCTTTGTTATCATTCTTCGCTATTCTATTCTTAGCCAGCCTTCTGATGAAACCTTTTCTTCTGTTCTTTTAGTATAGTTTTAATGTAATATATATCATAAAATAATAAATCAGCCTTCTGAAACATGGAGTCAGATCCTCATCCAAGAACCCCTGTGAACACTGTCACAACCTCCCAAAGCAAAGCACAAAACAGTGCAGCTATCCAAGAGTAAGGTACAATATCTATTGGTTTTCCCAAATCACATGCATGAAAATCATGGAATAAACCGAGTTACTTTCACAGAATTCACATCAATAATTTACAGTATTTAGCACTCACTTCAGCCATAACAATACTACCTTGTGCTGTGTTGGAAAGGTCTTCCAAATCCTGCTATTTTGTCTCCATTATTCCCTACTCTAAACCTTTCACTGATGACTCTGAAGTTGTTAATAAGTGTTAAGGCACACTGCAAACCAGGACAAGCAAACAGAAGTGCCTGTTTGTGTGATGCTGTGGAGTACAGAGAAGGGTATGATGAAAAGGAAAAACAAGCAGTAACTAAGATTAAAGCAGTGAAAAGCTGAGAACTGTAAAATGAATGACAAGAACTTGAGGCCAAAAAGGAAGAAGAAATTAATTAGAATTAAGTAGGAATGTTAGAGACACTAAAAAGGCCACAGAAAACAACCAGAATGCAGAAAAAACAGAATAAAAACTAAGAAACTACAACTTAAAAGAAAAATAATTTGCATGTTTCCAATCCAGCGTGGTGTTACATGCCAATTTTTTGAGTCCCTGGTATGGTAGCAAGTTTAATTTATGTTTTTCTAATGAGCTAACATTTCCTGAATCACAGCACTCATGCTGCACTGTAGCAGCCAAATTTAAAATTCCACTAACTGTAAATAGTCCATTTATCTTTAATTGACTCAGACAAGTCACATGTTCACAACAGTTACTGTACTGAATATTTACCATGTTTAGGAGTGGGGAAAAAAGTTCAGAGTGAGAAATTTCCCCCCTTAAAAACACATTATTTTTATGAAAAGTTTTGTAAATATTGTAAAGACATGCAATTCTTCTAATCAGATTTTTCTAGTATGCTATAATACCTGATGAAACAACAAAAAATATGTTTAAAAAAGAAAATAATTTAAAAAAACCCCAAAAAGCAAGACATACCTGGGCCTTTCTGGAGAAGGGTTTGGACTACGAGGGGGAGGGGTGCGGGGAACTGCAGGTTTAGGAGCTATGGTGGCAGCAGGGACCAGGCCATGAGCTATGTGTTTCTAAATGATTTAAAATAAAATTAGTTGACAATGATTGTAAGGATTACAATGAGACAAAAACACAGAACTGAATGTGCACAGAAACTAACAATGCAAAATAATATAAAAAGGAAGAACAATTACATGCAATTAATGTAAACAGAAGACTTGAAATGGCATTTCATTCCCCTTAAAGTCAGAACACCATGTAAAGCTGGCAAGTTCATTTCACATTTATCAACAGCTGCTCTTGAAGGTTAGAAATGTAATTTACATGAGACCCATGAATGTACATTTTCTAACCACTACATCACAATTTGCAAAATAAGAACTTTAACTTACTCATCTTTTTGCTATAGATACACAAGAAAAACTGGACTAGAAAATAACTTTTTCAAAATATGAGAATGCTGCTTCAAACTAACAATATTAGTCCGTTCCTTCTAGAGTTTGTCACTCCTTAGTCACAGCAGTATGAGATGGGAAAAAAAAGCCCTACCACTAAGTCTTACAGTCAAAGTTTCAACCTTGATTATAAAAAAAACCAAAAAAACAATTTTTTTCATCAGCAAACACAATATTTTTTTTTAAATGGTATAACATTAAATACCAGCTCAGAAAAAATGGGACCAGAGCTCCTGCAAAAGTACTGTGAAGGAAACTGGATACTGGTCGAGGTTGAAGGGAGCTCTGGAGATTGTCCAGCTCAAGCTCCTGCTCAAAGCTGGGTCACCCATGAGAGGGTTGCTTGGTGTCCTGTCCAGTCATGTCTTGTGTATCTCCAGCCTGTACAATGCTGAGCCACCTCACAGTATTGTATTACTATGTTTAAGTTGAATTGTCTGTGCTCATTGCCCCTTGTCCTCTCTCCAGGCATCAGAAAATGCTATGCCATAATAATCCATGACCTTTGGGCAGATGTTACTTTTCTATGCAGTGAAACAGACTAACTTCCTGCTATTTCTGCTATAGATCTTTTCTCCCCCAATTATTCTGTAATTCCCTTCTCCAACAGGAGAATGAAGATGCAAACCGGGAAATATTTCTGGTTTTTTATGAAGTCACATCAAATACTTAAATGGTGCATTAAAAGACTGCCTTTTTATTTAGCCATACAAACTCTCTGCTCCCTAATTCTGCATCTGTGTCTGGCATGCACCATTTCGTCTAGTGCAGGCTGCCGACTGCAGACACGACTATGACTGACCCTGCTAAGACTACCAGGGAACACAGCTGAAGCAAAAATCATCCCATGGTAAAAGTATGACAACAACAGAAGATTAAATACTTTCACTGTAGTAATAAACAAAAATTCATTTAGTTCAAGTATGTTGGAAGAGTACACCCGCACAACTGCTGACAACCGTACAGCCTTTGTCTGCTTTGGGCCTTCGGTCAGAACTTTTATCAGCTCACTTTACAGTGAACGGTGCTTAGAGGATGGGCTCGGCAAGAGCTGGGAGCGAGCGAGCTGCGCTGCCAGCCCGGACACAGGGAAGGGACGGGAAAAGGGAAAGGAAGCTCGGCGTTCCTGAAAAGCCAGGCAGGCCGGGACTGAGGGAAAGGAACGCACCAGCCCCCAGACACCATTTTGTCTTGGTTTGGGCTTCATTTTTCTCCCCGATTTTCACTTTAAAGTGCTCAGCGATCACCGGCATCACCCCTGGCCCCAGCCGCGCACAGACCCCCGTGCCCTGCTGTCCCCGCTCACGGTAAAGGAGCCCCATGCCAGGCACAGCGATACTCACGAAGGGGCCCCTGCGGCCTCTCCTGAACAGGAACGCCATCGGGACGGGACGGCACGGCTCCAACCACCACCTCACTCGCCGCGTCGGACGCTTCGCCTTCGCGACCCGCCTGGAAACAAAGGCACGGCGGATTTGCTGCGGGCCCGAGCTCCTCCAGTCAGCGCGGGCCTTACTGAGCCTCGCTCGGCCGTAGCAACAGCTCCGGCTGCGGCCCGCCCTCCGCTCCTCCGCTCCTCCTCCGCCCGTGGCCTGTGGAGCTCCCGCTGCCGCTTCCCGGTACCGCCGCTTCCCAGCCCCGGCGGGCCCTTGGGTGCCGTGGGCGGCTCCTCCGGGCCGGGCGGCTCCTCCGGGCTGGGTAGTGGTCCTGCGGTCTCCGCCGTGGGATGTTTGTCGGTGTGGTACTGGCTTGCCTGTGGTGCTTGTCCTCTAGATCATGCCTTAGCCTCCAAGGTTCGTTAAAGTCAGAACACTGAGTAAAACTGGAAAACCTGGACATAATCCCTCCCACATTTTAATAATTGGTCTGGAGACTTCCCCCAGCTGAGGGATGGAGGGGCCTCTGGAGCTGGCTTTGTAATTCAGGAAGATTTCCTCGCAGCAAGTTGGATGAAGGTATGGAAAACGCAATGTGGGGTTTTTTTCACCGTCTGTGTGTTTTAATTCAGGCTGAGCGGTAAAGCTGAAAGTGGAATTTGCAAGTTAGCAGCATGTATTAAGTGAACAGAGCTGCTGGCCGATTTTCACCTTAGCTGTAAGGAAGCTTGAGGAAGGAGGTAGTGTCTCTTCCAGAATATTGCATCTTAAGTTTATAATTATAATTAAAATTTATAAGCGTGCAACAGGTTTGTAAAATGTTTTTCCACGTTTCTTTCTAGGGTGTAACTGCAACTGAAGGAGGATTTTAAAGGAGGGCTGATGACAGCAAAAGCAAACTCTCCTGTGACAGCAGGATCTATAGTTGTCCCTTTAGGGCATGTCATTGGAAATGAGAAGTGGAGAGGGTCGGAGCTGGCCCAAAGGCTACAAGGTAAGCACAAACTGGAAGAGGAAAAGCAAGTCAGGCAAAACATTCCCCTCTATTGCCCAGTAATGTTGAGAAAAGCTGGACTATGCTTTACTCTGTGCCTGACTGGTCCCATATTTGTGGTATGGACTGTTAGCAGGCTGAAAGATCCCAGTTATTTGTCATGTATCTGTGTGATCAGCTCAGTTTTCAGAGCACTGCAGGGAAGCAGCAGAATCTGCTGGTGTGGGGCTTTGCAGGTTTGCATCTCCACTGAGCTCCCTTGAATTTACATCTATACTCTGCTACCGTCCTGCTGGCACAACAAACTAAATTCTGATGCTCCCTCCAGCAAAGCATGTGATATTTTTGTTCAAGTCCACAGTTTACTGGGCAGCTTTAGTACTTTTAAATCTGTGGATTGGAACTGCTATTAATTTGCATTGCTAAAGACATCACACAGTAGTTCACACTGCTTGTAATAGATTTATTTAAAGGGAAAAAAGGCTTTTTATAAAGTTCATTATCAAGTCACTAGAATTATTGACACTTTAGGAAGGCTGTGCAGTGAAATAATTGTTAGTATATTTTCAACTACTGTATTTTTTCTTCCGACAATCTCACCCTAAGGAAAAGTTAGACTCATCTTTGAAGATGGCTTGGGACTGGTGGACTTTCATCTTCCAAACAGAACTTGCATTTTACTTATTTCTGAAGCAGATTTGGTTGCAGGGGATGAATTCAAACGAAGATTGGTTAAGTTTAGAAATGTAAGTGCTATACAAAGAGAAAAGTTTTCACTTGATACTTTTTTATTCCATGCTTTTGAAAACATTCTTCTTGTATTTTTTTTAATTCCATTGGAGACGACCTTTTGGGATAATTTTCACGTGGGAACAGAAAAATTCTGCAGCTGTATTAAATCTCTGTCCTGTTGCTGCAACTTACATTCTTCCTCTGATTTGCTATTAGGCAGCTCATACTTAAAAGAATTTCTCTCTGTTACATTGCATTAACTTGTCATTAACAAGGTTTCTCCTAATATCTTTTTCCTTTCAATACAGGCCAGCAGTCTGAGGGGAATTGTAATCGTAGAGAAAACCCCAATCAGTGATCAGTACTACCTAGGAGTGCAAAAACTTGTGGTACTCGAACTTGGCATGGTGTTGCTTCCTGTGGCAAATCAAGGAGAAGCTTCTCAGCTTATTATTCAACTAGTAAGTTTCTGTGTTATATTAAAATATGAGATATATAGCAAAGCAGGTAGATCCCCCCAGTGATCATTTCAGAGAGAATACACAGGATCTTATACATAGGAGTACAACATCATTTGAATGTAAGGAATAAATCTTCTGCATCAGTGATACAGTAGTAGAGTTAAATGGAAAGAAGGCTCATTTGGGAACAAAGAAAAAAGGCTGAAGAATATGATCCTGGATTTTTTTAATGTAATCTTGTATGAGGTGCCCACTAGGTGGCATTAGGGAAATGTCACTGTCAAAATCAACTTGAGACTTGGCTTTCTCTAAAGCTAGGGAAGCTGTTTTAAAATTGTTTATTTTTACCCTTTCTCTGACTGCATCCAAAAGGTGACAAAGCCAATTGTTTTCTTTTGTTGTTGCTATTAAGGAATTGTTGTTTTCTGTGGTGGTGTTCGCAGGGGTCCCAGGATGAGAATCTTGACTCCATGTTTCAGAAGGCTGATTTATTATTTTATTATATATATTATATGACAAGAAAATGATATATTAAAACTATACTGAAGGAATAGAATAAAGGATTTCAAGGAAAGGAAAGGAAAAGGAAAAGAAAAGGAAAATCTTGTGACTGACCATACAGTCTGAGCCAGCTGATTGTGATTGGTCATTAATTAAAAACAACCACCTGAGACCAATCACAGATGCACCTGTTGCATTCCACAGCATCAGATAATCAATGTTTGCATTTCATTTCTGAGGCCTCTCAGCTTCTCAGGAGAAAAGATCCTAAGAAAAGGATTTGTCATAAAATATGTCCGTGCCAGGTTTCCTAGTAAGGTTTTGTCGAACCGCATCCCGTAAGGGAGCACACCTAAAGGAGGGAGTTTGTATTTACACCTTCCTGACGGTTGCACTGAATGCTGAGAGATGAAGCCGAGCGAGGAGGAGCAGGAGCGCTGGGTGTCCCTGACAGCTCTCACTGGCCGCAGGGCTGTGCGGGAGCGCTGGGTGTCGCTCTCTCTGTTCGCAGGGCCGTGCGGGAGCGCTGGGTGTCGCTGACCGCTCTCTCTGGCCGCAGGGCTGTGCAGGAGCGCTGGGTGTCGCTCTCTCTGGCCGCAGGGCTGTGCAGGAGCGCTGGGTGTCGCTGACCGCTCTCTCTGGCCGCAGGGCCGTGCGGGAGCGCTGGGTGTCGCTGGCAGCTCTCTCTGGCCGCAGGGCTGTGCAGGAGCGCTGGGTGTCGCTCTCTCTGGCCGCAGGGCTGTGCGGGAGCGCTGGGTGTCGCTGGCAGCTCTCTCTGGCCGCAGGGCTGTGCGGGAGCGCTGGGTGTCGCTCTCTCTGGCCGCAGGGCTGTGCGGGAGCGCTGGGTGTCGCTGGCAGCTCTCTCTGGCCGCAGGGCTGTGCAGGAGCGCTGGGTGTCGCTCTCTCAGGCCGCAGGGCCGTGCGGGAGCCCTGGGTGTCGCTCTCTCTGGCCGCAGGGCTGTGCAGGAGCGCTGGGTGTCGCTCTCTCTGTTCGCAGGGCCGTGCGGGAGCGCTGGGTGTCGCTCTCTCTGGCCGCAGGGCCGTGCGGGAGCGCTGGGTGTCGCTGACCGCTCTCTCTGTTGGCAGGTGCGGGAGCAGAGCCGGGAGCGCGGCTCCAACCCGTTCGTGGGCCGGCAGCGCGCCCGGCCGGCGGAGCCCGCGGTGCTGCAGGCGCTGCAGCGCATCCCCGGCGTGGGCAGAACTAAAGCTCTGCTCCTGCTGCAGCGCTTCGGGAGCATCCACCGCCTCTGCAACGCGGACAGCCAGGAGCTGGAGCAGGCAGTCGGGCAGACAGTAGCACAACAGATTTATACTTTTCTACATTCCTGACGTGCACGTGCAGTGGTACTTTGCAAAACAAAAACTTGGGATTTTTCTTCTGAATTGCAACATTTTGGTTTTAATAATCACATTATTATGCTGATTTCTGTAATTATGGCTAGCAGCAACTGGCCTCTGATGCTTCTTTTTTACATCTGCTCTGTTCATGTAGATTAAGCTGTGTAAATTGCCTTGGAAGGAAGTCTGTATTTTGCATCTATCTGGAACAAATAAAAACCAAGCAAGCTGTCTTTTTCAGCATCAGTGTTAAAAAATGGAAGAGCAATCTGCTTGCTTACTTTGGTCTTCCAGAAAAAAACACCATATGAATATGTACATATTAATTTCTCAGTAACTGGAAATATGTTACATGTGTTTAAAAAGTTAGCATATATTACTTGAGAGATGTTTTTTACACACCTGCTGAAGGGAAAAGGCAATTTTACCCTTGGAAAACAAGATAAGAATATAACTTAAAATGCAAGATGTCAGGAAAACCAATCCTCTTTACAAATAGATTTTGTAATCTATTTGTAACATTTTTGTAACATTTTTGATTTATCATTTGTAGTTCCTTTGGAAAGTCCTACTGGAAAACACATTTGACTTCACACTAACTTACTTCTCTGGTCACCCCTCCAGTTGATAAAGCATTAAAAAATTTATTTTCATGTGTCTGATATCCAAACTATTGGTTAATTTATGCTGTCTTTCTGAATATATGTTGGCATACTAATAATAAACTGCAAAATATTTTGATATATTAATTATAGCGGCTATATGCTAATTATACTATCAATTATACTAAATGTGCGCTACAAAAAATATGGGAAGCTTTAAACAAAATTCCTAATTCATACTAGTCTTCCAGTATTAATATTTTGAAAATCTACTTGTAAAAAGGACTGGTTTTCCTGATATCTTTCTTGTATTTTAAGTTATATTTTTATCCTATTTTTTAAGGGTAAAATTGCCTTTTGCCTTGAGGAGGTGTGTGAAAAGCATCTCTCACACCATTTGGGAGTTTGGACCACAGCAGGAAGGCAGCTGAGAAGGATTTTCCACTCCCTGCTGTGGGAGCCTTGGCATCTCTGAAAGTTCTCTCTTATCCACATGGTTAGCATGGACAGCAGGTGGACCTGATATTTGTATTGATTCTGTACTTGGGATGAAAATTTGTCTGTAACTTACAGAATTATTTCATTTAGTGAATAATAAACATAAGAATTTCCTATAGTACAGGAAAAGATACTTTTTTTTTCAGGCAACTAGGGAGTACTTTAAGCTTCCTTATACATGAGTTTGTTCAGATTTTATTCCTCTAAGGTTTTGTCACTTTGCCATGAAGAGTGGATTTCACACCTAAAGGCTGTTGTGTTGCAAGACAAACACCTTCTCCCTATGGAAAAGCTCAGTGCATTAAATACACTTCAGCTGAAGGAGTAACAATTAATATTCATGGGGTTACAGGCTGTGCTACTAATCCATTGCTAACCTTCATTTTTAGGGCCTATTGTCCTTGTGGGTAGACAATCTTGGTACAAAAATTCATTCCTGTGGCCTGAGCAAGAACATAAAACACACACTCCTTTCACTGCTGGCTGAGTTAGCTGTTGGCTGCCACTCAGTGTAGAACAGAAAACTAAGAGTATTTATCTGGCACCAGAGAGGTCCACATTTTTACTTGAATTTTGGGGTGTGTTTTAAATTTTAAAAGCCAAGCTCTCCTCAAGGACAAGTGAGTATAGTATGATGATGGGAAGGAAAGACAATTATTCAGTAGTTAAGAGGGAAAGTATTTCCAGGAAGATTATGATAGTGGTTTAGGAGAAATGAAGAGCTGCAAGGGTGATTGCTGTGACTTTGCTAAAGGTTTGGGTACTTGGATAGCAATTTCAGCACCCAGGCACAGTAAATCTCATCTGTATGGAATATGTGAGGCAGGGCTGTGCAGATCAGGGGCTGCCTGCTGCTTGTGTGTGTAAAAGGAGCACTACTACCAATACACCTATAGAGTAACTGCTGAGGATAGGCAAGTCACAAGGAATTTACAGCTTATTTTTCATGTAACCTTTACAGGGAAACTAGAAATATGTTTACACTCTTTGTAAAGAAGTTGGTTTTTAACTCTTAGTTGATATTGCACAATACAGGAACTTTTAAGAAAAGTTTCTTAGATCTCTGTAAGCAACATTAAAGAAACAAGAAGTATGGCAACAGTAAATAGCAAAAACCTGTAAATTACGCTTTAGCATCCAAACTGAAGCAGAATTAAAAAGCCACTAGTAAATGGCAGCATCTGATTTTTATTCTTAAATAAGGGTCATCAAGATATTTACACCTACTACATAAGAAATTAAAAATAAATGACAACTCAAAAGTTTACAGCAAGATGCAGATTTTTGTGTAAATTTTAAGTATCTATCTACTCTGTAGATGGCAAAGTTAACTAACACTACAGTGTTAGCAATTTTCAATTAATTTAAGGAAACAGAAGAATCTCAAAGAAATGCTCACCAGTTATTTTTGTCCCCCTCCTTACTCTAGATACAGCTTGCTCATTAATTTTTCCAAGGGCAGAAGATTTTTTTTGCTTGATGTGATAGTAAATAAATATCCTGCCACTTAGCACAAGTACTTCTTTTATCATATTTTAAAGCATCACTGCAATTTATGTGCCCTTGAATCAATATATTATACTATGTCCATTTTGAGATTTGTTTCACAGCTATCCATTTTATCAAGACAAGTGAGATACAAGTCTTAAAGTAAGTAGGTTAAATAACATTAGGAATAAAGCCTGTTTTTAACAATTGAATCAACAGGCATTTAAAATGTTACCTAAATCAGAAAAAGAAGAGAATAAAAGCCTTTTGGAGTTCAAAAGACCTTAAGCTTTGTAATTCTCTTCCAGAACTAAATGACCTGTTCAGTAGGCTACACCTAGTACTCTGAGGAAGCACCTCTGCATAAAACACAACTCTATGACACTGCTCCTTGGCACAAGACTTGTTTCTCTGAATAATATTTCCTCTCACCTGTGCTTTGTTAAGATAATTTTTCAAAGTAATGTTAAATGATTTATTATTGACTCTTAACTTTAAGAGCAAAATCATTCTCTAACATGTCCCCTTACTATTTTGCATTCAGCATCAAGTTTGTAATAAATAACTCCCATCTAGCATAGCTATGACTATTTTTATGAAAAATCAGTCATAACTGTATTTTGAAACCCCAAAGGATTCCAATCTTCATGTAAGCAAATCTAGAATCTACATCTTGTTATTGCATACCTCCCAAAGGACTTCATAACCTTCAAATACTTCAGTTTTACATTTTCTGCCAGCTTCTGACCACAAGTGGCTCAATGCACAGCAAATGAAGTCACCAGTATTTGTCTGGGTTTACACATACGTATGTGAAGATAAAATTGATCAGTATTTTTACATTTTAAACAAAAGTCACATTAACAGATACTTCTGGAAGATTCAGTACAATGAACTTTCTGTATTGAAAAGTGTGAAGGGAGAAAGCTTCTTCTTAGTCTGAGAACTTCCAGCCACAGCTGAAGGAAGGCAGAGTGTACTTGCAGCTTTCTGTCTGTTTTTAGTTCCCCAGCTCAGAAAAGGGAGTTTTAGTGGGGCTTTCTTGGTCTGATCAATTTTATCCTCGTCCATGGCTAAACAGATTAAGGAGTATGTCTTCTGCATTCCCATGGAGTAAGTTGCACTCTTGCTATGCTGTGGGAAAAAGAGAAGCATTGTAAGAATCAGTCATCCAAAATGGGTCAAAATTTTGAGAATAACAAAAGGTTACTGTGCAAACAGTTTTCCAGGGCAGCCTGCAGCAAGCTTTCTGTGCTAATGACATTGCTGAGCACGAGGCCCTTCAGAGTGCTGTCACCCTGGGACTGTGCACATGTAGACTCAAAGGTATGCTCTGCAAAGCAAAAAGGAACTTGTGAATCTTTCCTTGGGTTGTTAATATTTACTGGCTTCTAGCATAACTATTTAATATACACAGAAACCTCCCTACAAAGCTCAAGTGTGCAATTCCTGCACAGATGTGAAGGAGAACCTCTTTGGACAGGTTCTGTACTGATCACAACTGCAGGAGCTCCTGTGTGACATTCTCCTGGGATACCTGACAGAGACAGCCTTCTCTGTCTTCTCTTAGATTTGCCCTGAAACAATTTGCTTATATTCTAGCCTTTGAGTTGCAGCTTGGAATGGCAGATGCATAATTCCTTATTTTCAATAAGGAAAACCAATTTTAACAAAACAAGAAAACCTAACAGCAGCAGGGGCACCTTAACAGCTTCTCAGGCAACATTACTTGAGTGTCTAATCTTGCCAGGGAATGTTAAAGGCATGAAGCAGTGGATTTAGCTGAACTACAGGTTCTTTCACACAACTATTAAGTTATTTAGAGCTTAATACTTTTTAATCTTGTGATGACTTTCCCTTGGTCTAAAGCTTCTATAGTAGCTTTGTAACTGATTAGACAGTTATAAGTTCACCAAAATTTAAAAAAAAAGACATAAAATAATCCATGATCTAATACAAAAGTCACAGATCCTTTAGAATAACAGTGCATAGAAAATACACACGTGTCTTGGATGTTCTATTTCCTTCCATCATTGTTTCACTGTGGTTTTTCCACTGCTGAAGAGGGTAATGCCTTCATCCTCTGGGACAAGTTAGGGGAAATAAACTAGGTCTTCAAAATTTTCATGCAATTAATCTAAGTAGCTGCACTGCAAAAAATTCCATCCCATTCTTATGCAGCCAGGCTGCTTTAGCTTGCTAGGTCACAATGGTTTAAACAGATGGTTTGAAACTGAACACACATCTGAAGGCTTTATATATTCCCAGGCCGAGTGGGATATCTGAGTACAGGAAAGTAAACATGAACCAGGAACTGAAGGCAGGCAAGTGACACAGCTCCAGCATATCAAACCTGCCAGTTTGCCTCATTACATACCAAAGATGCTGCTGTATCCTGGCAACTGATAACCTCCATCTCCACGGGCTGCTTTCCCACACTTTTCAGTTTTTCCAGCACTTCACTGACACCAAGCCACTTGCAATCCATACCACCAACTGATACAATGTAGTCACCTTCTTTTAGGCCTGCTGACTGTCAAAAAAATTTGGCACAGGTTACTTTCCAGAATTATAAAGACATGTAAAATGTTTTTGTCATCACAGAGTATCTGCTCCAAAGGCATTTCACTCTTAGATGCTACAAACCCATTCTCCAGCCACACATGTGCAACTTTCTCAAGTACACAAACTACCTCTGGAGTTACCACTGATGTGATTCTGGTATACTCAAATGTTGGCTGGTTTTATGTTCTTTTTACTTTTCTCCTTAAGTAAATGAACCCTGGGTTTTGCTATGCTATTGTCATTTCCTGCAGTGTGTAATTCTTTTTCTTCATTATTTTAATTTGCATTTCTGTGGTTACTTCTGCCTTTTCTATAAGTAAACTGCTTTTCACTGCATGCTGCTTTATCACTTTCCCTGAAAGAACATTATAAACCAATAAAATATTCTTGCCCTTTTTTCCTTAGGCAAACACTACACCTTGCATTCCCTTCCTGATCCTTATTCTTGATGCTACCTTTTAAAGTATTTATCCCTTCTAACCTCCTGAATAAGACAGGAAGTAACATTTGCTTTTATTATTTGTGACTTTTGAAGAATGAACAGAGAAAGAAATCAACTCTAGTTTCATGTGATGTTGGGGATATGGGTACTTTAACAATCTACAACATATATAGCACTTAAAATGCATTCAGATTATAAGAATTTACTATCCTAATGTAAAGGACTCAATAAATCCATGGGTATGAACTAGCTGAAGGTACATTTCAATGCTAGAGTCTGCAGAGAAATTGTTCATATCACACCAATATACTTACTGCTGCAGGACAAGCTGGATCAAGACAATAAATCTGTACTGGTGAACCTCCTTTCAGACTGAATCCAAGCTCTCCTACTTCATGGTGGAGGCAGATGGTCCTTGGGGCTGTCCATCTCTGCTTGGCTGAAAACACTGTCAGTGGGCCCTGCAGGGAGCACAAAGCAGGCACATTGTGCTTTACTGTCACTTGTAAGTCAGCATTTCTGGCTTTGTAAGTCACAATGCTTTAAACTCATCTATTGTAGGTTTTACTCTGGTTAACTCCCAGCTAATTCCCTGGAAATGCAAAGGGATTTCCTGACTGTTCAGCTTCAAACAGAGTGGGATAAAGGCAACTGCCAGGTTCTTCCAGGATTTCTGTTAAGGTGTGCAGAATCTTCTGGCTGCATAGGCTGTATGGTTACTCATTCTAGCATTAATTCTCCTATTTAAATATAGGTTAGGCCGTTAATGAGGGGAGTCATAAAGTTCTTATATTTTTGTAGTGTAGATCTTTAAGGCAACTCTTTGTTGATGGCTGCTTGAGGGCCCACAGTATGACTGGGGAATTAATATTCATCCGCTCGTAGAGATTGTATTCTTTTTTAAAGGAGCTGTACCCCCTCTAAACAGCCCTTAATTCTCTTCATTAGGGTTCATGGGTTTTCCTTGGTCCTGTATAACTCATTTCAGAGGAGATAAACTGATTCATGAAACCTTGTATATTTTGATCCTAACCATATTCCCAGGTCCTTTTGCTCACTGACACACACAGAGCCACCTGAAAGACTGGCTGTGTCACATGCAAGTGACACATTCTGCATGCCTGTCTCCACATACCAGGTATCTCTCCCTCCCCTTAAGTTGTGTGCAATTATCTGTTGGGACTTCATGGGACTTTTATGAAGGTTTTCAAGACTGAATGCTGTACAAGCCATGTAGAAATGGCACTTCTATTCTTTCCTTCTCTCAAGCTGACTTATACCTCTAAAGCTAGGAATGATTTCTCCAATAGCTTCTGAAAATTCAATTACTACAGGATCATTTTTCCAGGTTAAAATACATGTGTCCCTTCCCTCATATTATAGTGAATTTATAGTTGCTATCAAAAGGGCAGAGGTTGGTCACCATCAGTGTGTTACATACCAGCTTATGAAAGAAGTCTTTCACTTTCACTTTGGAAAACTGAGGAGCAATTGTTTCTATTTTATGTTCTGTTTTAGCTGAAATAAAAAGAAAACAAAATTAATTTTCTTTTTTTGCATTCCAGGCTAGATAGGAATTTGTCCTAAATTCTTACTGAGCTGTGGAAAAACTAATTTTTGGGGAAGTTTGTTAGATATCAGAACTGCCTTAAAAATATCTTCAGAGCTCACAGTATCAATATGAAAAACTTAAAAAAAATCCATCTGAACAAAATTATGCTATTCCCATCTTTAATTTATTTTTCTTTGAGAAGTTTTTAAAACCAGCACTCATAGTTTCGTACTGCATCCAAAGAAGAAAGAGTTGTATGAGCTGGACTAAGGTAGAAAAAGAAATAGCAGACGAACTGATTAACAACCCAGTCTAGTACAAGAGTTGGGCTCAAGAAACAGTTACTGTAGTTTTCCCCCAAATAATTTTCACTTTTCAAGTTTCCCCATTCTTTCTAGCTCACAAGATAGCCACCAAAAAAAGCTGGATTCTAACTAACCACCATTGTGATCTACCCTAAAAAACAATGTTGCTAGAGACAGAAATCCTGTAAAGCAGCTCTAACAAAATCATATACTGATCAAAATATTGATCTGTGACTGAGAAAACATGTAAGCAATCAGAACTTGTGGAAGAGATTTTAAAGGGACTTCTGTGAGTCAGAGAGAAGTCTGATAATAGGATCCGTGTTGACCCCTGAAAGAATTTCCTACCAAGTTCATTGACACAGAAACCAAGAAAGAAAGAAGGATAAATAAGAGAAACCTGCAACTGCCTATTCCAATGAGCACTTTGTTTGTCTCTCCTGACCAATGAGTAAAGTGCAAACTTATGAGTTTGTAAGAATGTATAAAAAGCATCCCTGCTAGAATAAAAACAGGTTTGAGGCCTTCTGAAAATGGAATGTTGCTTTGGATTGTGTTCATCTCAACTATGACAGGAACTCTACAAATGTACAGTATATATCCTACATTATTTCTGTTCTGGCTGTGCACACTTACGCAGTATATCTGGAGCCTGGATGAGACTGAGGAAATCATCTTCTGTCTCCTGCTGAGCATATTTGAGCAGGGAACGTTTATGTGCAGCTGTCAGGACCTCCTGGAGAACCTCAATGTTGCGAAGCTTTTTGCAGAGCCCACAGACTCTCAGAGCTTCCTCGTGGTAAACAATGGCTTTGCGTAAATGTGCTTTCCCTGCAAACATTAAAAACCTCTGCTGGTCATCCAGACAATGAACACCAGGTCATTTTCAAATTGTAGCCACTAGCTGTGTGAAAGTGGCACTTACCTAATTGTTTTCTCTGGACTTTGTCCTTTAGAACATCAAGAAGCATCAGCCCTTCAGGCACACAGTCATACAGCTGGGACAAGGCTTTCTCCTGCTGATCTTCATCATCACCAGGCTGCACTGTAATCATGGATAAAAAACATTAATCATGCACTTCTCTTGGTCCCCAATTCCTTTAGGTGTATCATTGTGAATTATTATTGAGAATTATTACTACATTCTCTCCCAATGCAGTAAAATTTACACACATGTAATAAATATATAAATATGAATTTCAAGTTTTTATCATCGACAATATGCAAGTAATACTTACATGCCAGAACACATTGGTAAGATCTCAACTATTCAGTACCATATAATGGATATATGACTTTTCTTTTGTTTCTGTCAAAGTCAGTTTACTGAATGTTCACATTTTTCTCAAAAGACAAAAAGAGCACGGCCTCATATTTGAATGGGGAAAAAGACCACAATTTAACATCATTTAATATTAAAGCACCAAAGTTCTTGGCTCCAAGACTTATTCACAGACCAAATTATAACTGTTGGTGTGTTTATTATTTATTTATAAGAACATATAAAGAAGTATGATTCTTACATTCATGGTCACACAGAATGGTGGCAGTGAAATAATGTGCCAGAGCTTTGTAATGGTCTGACTTTATTTGTGCCAGCTTAGACCAGGAGTAGGGAATATTCTCTTTCACTGGTTCCTGATTCATTGCAGTGTTGACCAGCATGTAAACCTCTCCCACCTAAAAAAAAAAAAAAGGCAAATAATTGAAGTATTAGAACTTAATATGAGGTATTAGGAACTCAAGTAAGGGATATCATATTCATGCTTAAGATAATTTCATATACAATCACATCAAAGAAGGGGAAAGTATGGTTAGGATGGGTTGGAATTAAGTTTGGAGAAAAAGTTGAAATGTCTTCTCTGATTTTTCCCTCACAAGAAAGGTAAATCAATTTTGTACAAGAACAGATGGACTAAGTCAGTTATACCATATGGCTTCATAGTTAAATAAAAACACCATAAAATAAACAGGTCTTAATTTATAAATATATCTCATTAATTCAGTTGAAAAAAAGAGTGAAGCATTTTCAAACAGTAGGTTTGTGCTACACTTTCAAACTGTGGAGTCAAACATAGCCTGAAGTTTGTGTGGTCCAGTTAAAACTGGGATATTATTTTTTACACAGAGGAAATAAAATAGTTTTTCAAGCAGTGAATGCTGATTTAATGGATCAAAAGAATAAAAAAATCTTTCCCCTGCAGCTGATCAATCCTACAGATAAATCACAGAGGCTTTGCAGGGTTGGGATGAAAGACTTTGCCTTTTTCTTGTATGGAACCACTTTTATATCTGCTACTCTGAAATAACAGAGAAAGCACAGGAATATCCTCATGGCACACTTATTTTTGGTACATTGCTCCATCAAATAATAACACTACCTCCTGGGACAAGACTATGTCACCATTTTCTGCCAAGTCCCAAGACAGCTCTGCAGGTACCAATCTGACTCTATTTGTCAAGATCCTTCCCTCAGTTACAATTCAGCTATTCTTTTGGATTAATCCAAAAGATTTTTAGGTTTCTATATCCTTCAGCAGCTGGGAAACAAGACAGGTTGTGTTCAATACTTAACAGGAACCACACAAACATCCTGTAACCTTTTGTATGTAGTTCTGTGGACAAAATCTCTACTGTTTGAAAAACCAACATAAATAGCTTATAAAACACCTTCAGCAAGTTCATTGCCTATTTCTATTAATCTCCATGAATTATGAATGAAATAAACTGTAACAATTCTATAATAATATTTAAATTTTGTTCATGTTTTAATCTTATGAAAGGTTGTGCTTTTAACTGTAGTTTGTGAGCTTCCCCATGTTATTTTTGGTTTCCAGTAATGGCTGCTAACATTTAAATTTAATAAATATTAATATTATATATAACAGTACACATATGATAATAATAGTATGTGTATATATAGATATTAAAAATAGTTTATATATCATATAATACTTAATAATAATAGTTAATATTACTAGAAGCTGTAGGCAGTAACACAGCACTGTAAACACTTATTTTATAGACTAGATTTAAAGTCCCATATTTTACCTTGGCAACTTCCTGTGTCATTTTTACCAGTGTGAAAAACTCATTCCGTATTCCAGAAAGGCCAATCTGCTCAAACACACACTCCTGAGCTTGTGCAAGCATCATTTTTACCAGGACATTCAGCATAGCTGGGCTCATGTCATAACTTGGAGTGTGAGTAAAGGTCTCCTTTAAGTAGCTTAGAACTCCTGCAATTACAAAATGGTTTTGTCAGTATGACAAAGATAAACAAGTGAACTTAATTCTAATATGTACCATAATAATTAGGATTTAAAGAATATTTTCTAGTATTGCACTACAGCAATCTGGAGGAATTCTTGGTGCATAAGAAGTTAGACTGACCTACAGGTTTTGCTTTGCATTGCCATCAACCATCCCCAAGTACAACTGTCAAAATTACACTGCTGAGGAGCAACAGAAACTCCTGAGGAGTAACAGAAACTGCAAGTTTTGAGGGCACTGCCTTCAGATGTGCTTGCAAAAGTTCTTGTGACTGACCATAAGACTATGCTGAACTGAATGTCATTTATACGTGGGAGTGGCTTATACAGGGGACAAAAAAGAGAAAAATCCTCACAGCTATAAGGAGATGACAGTAGTAGAACCTCAGGATAGAAGGAAAGGACATAAACATATTAACTTAATTAAATATTAATCTTCTTTTCAGATGCTGCTAATTGGACTTGTGTGTCCCAATGAAAGCACCAATCCATGCCTGTAACTTAGAATTTTCATTTACAGATATATAAATATATTTAATAGGGTAAAAGTTCTCTAGATATTTGGTTCCTCCAAAACATCAGTAATTTCTATCATATATCAAATCTGAAACAAACATGAGCTGTAGTGCAATACTGAGTAACAGTTTCATGGATGGGAGCATAACCCTCAGCAGGCATCTCATCAGACTGGTTCAGTGAGTTCTCCTGCCTTGCTAATGCTGACAGCCCTGCAGAGGTGTAACAGTTTCTGTAACCTTACTTCTTGCCACCACACTCAGTTCTGTCCGTGCTGTGCAGTATTTCCCCACTAAACAGTGTCTGTGATTTTTGATTTTCCATCTTGCACTCATATCTGAATTTTTAATATGCCATTAAACAAATTTGAAACATAGCTGTCTCTACCTTTTTGCACTAAAAAAAATGAATCCCAAATTTGCCAGGCATATCCCAAGTACTGATGGAGTGCCCTACTGAAAGGAACTGAAAGTATAGGAGGAAAAAAAAATTATATTTTTTATTCTCAACATATTTCTGCTTATGCTGAGGATAAATTCTGTGTAACATCATCCATTCAGCACTGGGAAACAGTTAATACAGACTGTGCATCATGCCCCTGCCAACACAATGAAGTGTTACAGCACCATGCACAGGTACAATGAAATGCCTCCTGACCATGTTGATTTGGGGCCCTGCAAAGGTAACTTTGGTAGCAAATAACACCTTTCCAGTTTTGCAGTAATTCTGTTCTGCAAACATGTTAAAGTGAAAAGCAGTGATTTTTAAAATTTATTTTTATTATGTGATTTTATATATTTTTATTTACAAAATGAACCAGTAAAATGGAGAAATTTCCTAAATATTGAAATTTCTTTTAGATGAAACAGAAAGGTTGAAAAATAATTAATTTATTTATGCATGAAGAAATACTAATTTTTTCAATAGCTGTGTATTCAAAGGAGGGGAATTATGAAAATTCAACTCTGTTCCCCAAAGCTTTTAGTACCCATACAGTGCAAACCAACAGTCACAGATGTTAGTGCAGAAATAAATCCTACAGTACATATTAATTACTAAGGACATGTCTTTAAATATTATGTGTAGCACAGATGATACTTACAAAACAAATCAGAAAATCAATTTAAAAGTCCCCAAAGAAAACAAAAGACTTTATAATATGTTAGTTCAAGGGAAAGGATTCCCTTTATTGGAATTTCTATTCTCTTGCTTGGGACAGAGCTTGATTATTTTGAACCTGTCTGCCTTTGGAATCTATGGAAAACAGGTATGAAAATGTTTATGTTTCAGATATGGAAATGTTTCCATACATGGCATGCATGGAAAACAGTCAACTTCCAACAAATTGCAACTTTCACCAGAGGAAAAATAAGATTAATTTTTAAGACCTTCATATGGATAACTAGGCTTAAGGGTTTTTATCAAACCTGTCAATTGTCTCCTGTACAGATTTGACACCAAGGTGCTATTACTGAGGTAGAAGCAGGTATGGCAGTGAAACAAGGAATGAAGCAGTTAATGCCACTGCAGTAACTCTGACCTTTGAACTGCAGCTCAATAATCATTAACCACAGCGTTCACTATCTTATCTGCATGTTCAGACTGCACTTCCAGGCTTTAAAGCTTCATCTGAGCTCTTCACTGAGCTTCTTGAATGTCCCTGTTCCTCCTTGTCTGTGTAATCAGGCCAGTAGGAAATGCAGAAATCTCTATGATATCAGAGTGAGACTGGGGACATTTGCATGAAGACCTTTGCATTATTTTAAGATGTGTACCTGCAGCTTTCTGAAAAGCATCAACAGCATTTTCAAGTCCAGCCTGGGTCTGACGATTGCACCTTGTTCCAATCTGTGTGTAGAGAGCTCCGATGTTGAATAAAACACTGGCTTTTTCAAGCAACAGGTTTTGCTGACACACTGGGACACCTGTGAAGGAATCATACCTTGGGAAACAAATATTAGAAGTGTTAAGATTAGCAGAGTCCATTGCAAAAAAGCAAGCACTTTCATTCTGTTTTTCTGACTGAATAGTGTTTTCACTGTTCTGCTACAGTGAAAAGGAAGGGGAACAGAAACACCATTATGTTCTGCAAGGACAATCCAAATAATTAACCAAGGCAAGGAACAGCTTTATTTGAGAGAGTTGTCAGCAAGTTTTAGAGCAGTGCCTCTATAAGCTCATTACATTTAACTCAGAAATGCCCAAAAACATCACAGAGGTGGAGAGCAAACTGGGGCAGTATCTACTTAGGTGCTGCCAAAGATCAACTGGCATGGTCAGATCCTCTACTGCTTGTGTTTAAAGCTTCTATTTGCAGTTCTCCCCAGAAATTTAACAGTTCCTCTTGACTACATGGTAGTAATTTTTTTTTCATCATGAAAATTTTCAATTCAGAGTCAAATTCTGTTTACAGATATAGTAAATACTCCCTTATAAAAAATAAGTTGTTCCTTTCTCTTTTCTGGCCCAAGTGGTCTTCTTAACAAATTGAAGGAGAGGACTTAAGGTCTGAGCCCACTCCATGTCGTCATTTTGTACATCTAGGTTGAGAATTTGGAAACATCTGTAGCTGTCCAAAATGAAGATTATTTCCTCTCTTTCTCCCTTGTGCTAACCTGTAGCCAAATCATAATCTAGCCAATGGCTTCACTCTAAGCATGCAAAGAGTGTACTGTACGCAGGTTTAGTCTTAACTTAAAAAAAATGAAAGTAAAAGAAAAAAATTGACAACACACACTGCAGGGATTCAAGAGGAGACACAGACTGACATACTTCAGAATAAAGATAGTTAATGATTAACCAATGTTCTGGGGGAAAAAAAGTACTAAAGAGAAACATGAACTCCACACTTACCATGTAAATAAAACTCCAATGTGCCTGGTGGGTGGGAAAAATCTGTTTTCTACATAACCAAGTTGCAGGAAATAGCTTATCAACATCTCAATGCCAGCTTCATCTCTGCTAGGAGTGCGGCAGGCCTTGAAAGACAACAGATTAAAATTGAGTTACAGGGTGAATGCTGAAACCCCAAGGACAAAGCTCTGCTTCCTTTGGACTTCTGCATATCATAGAAATGTGTGGAATCTGAGAACAGTAAGCTTAAAGCCATATGGATTCATGCCAAACGTTTTTCAGCTGCACACAAGTAGCACACAACCTTTAAAAAAGCAAACAGAATCTGTTTGGCAAGTCTCAAAGTTAATTAAATAAAGATTGTAGGTATTTTATGGAAGTTAGAGAAGGCTTTTGTTTCTAGCATAGCACAGGAAACAAACAATACTCAGAAATACCCATCATTCTACTACAGTATTTTGCCAGGTTAATCCACTTTAACACTCTCCTTGCTAAATTTAATATACTTTAAAATAAAAAACAGTCTTGGATAACAAAATTTAAAAAGCTACATCAATAGCTCAATCAATTTTGCACAATTTCATCTGTTTCTTCACTTTTTCTTCACTCAGATTGTAAAGCTATTGGACAATGGCCATTCATGCACCATGTCTCAGAAATGAAGTGAACTGGAGTACAGTAAGTTCTAAGTAAAAATTTTGTATTTTGATTCCATACTGATGTTATTTATAACTGTGTATTCAAAGACCTCCTAGAATACCATAGTTGAACTTACTTGTCTCAGATCCATGAGATCTGCTATTTCATCTTCATACTCTGAACTGTCTTGGCTATAATGTTCCTGAATAAAGTCCTAAAAAGAGAGAAAAAGACAAAAAATTGAAATATCTGAAATTAGCCTAAACTGTTTTTTCTACAGTTCCAAAGAGTAGGAAATGGATTCAGTTGTGATTTGACCAGTGCCTACTCCCTTTCAGTGAACATGTAACAATGAGACTACAGTGAAACAGCAGGATTAGGATTTGGTGTCAGACAGATTTCACTGTGGTGTAAAGGAACCAAACATCTGCTACATGAGCTCCAATTGGTTTAAAAACAACAACACTCAGTAGTTTTGAAAGGGACAAACAAACTCTGTTATCTAAAATGACAAGGGGATCAAGTGACCATAAAAACTTGTTAACAGAAAGAGATTGACAACTTTTTGTGAGCTCCACTAGGGCAATTCCACTTAAAATAACAAAGCCGCAATGACATGAAGTGGTACCATGATCTGACCATGGAATTTAACCCACAGAAGTAAAAATAGACACAAATGCTACAGTGATACAAGCTGGTTTACTGTGAGATTAAAATCTGTATTGCACAATACACAGAAGTACAGAAAATACAGAGGATGGTTCAAACAGACAGTAAAGTACATCAGACAACAAACAAGCAGAGTTAATGTGCAACACTGCTTCCCAACTGAGCTATCCTAGTGTAAACTGGTGTATCACCACATTATGCTGAGTAAAACCTTCATTACTACTTCTTCTCACACTTACAATCAGTAATCAATACCATTATTAGAAACAAAACCATGGAAGGAATTTTTATTCTTTGGTTTAACTCTGCCTTCAAAGTGTAATTTCTTATAACATTTTTGGACTTATTGTCCTAATTAGGTAGGAGCAATGATGCAAATCAATGGTAGTTAATTTTTAACATAGCATGATCTTGATCTTAGGGCAAAATAAAAAATAATTTGTACCTGAATTACTTCTGTTTCTTTAAACAAATCTGAAATGGTAGTTATTCCTGTTAACCATTCAATCTGAAACGTGCATGTAAAACTTACCTTGAGGGGGAGTGTAAAGTCTACATCTTTGGTTTCCTTCAGGCCAAGAGGTACCAAGGGAATACTGAAAGTCTCTCTACGTCAAAAAAAAGCAAAAAGATTCACAACTTTTTTTTCTGCTTCTGTTATAATTACTTTTTGTTTTATTTGATGACCGGAAGTTCATACATTGATGGAGTAAAGAGAAGAGTATACACCTCCTCCCTGCACAAGAAAACCTGCCTAGTGGCCTGTACTTCTCAAGAGGAGAATGAAGAAAGCTACTTGCCAGCATTTTGATTTTTTTCTCTATTATTTAAGCCTATTTTTCCTCCAGGCAAAGGAAAGGAGACTCTCAAAGGCTGCCTCACTGCAATTTAGCTCCACAGCAGCAAGGAGATCTGCCACAGTAGAACCATGGTAAGTATCAGCAGTTAAAATCAGTATTTTATAGGTTTCCAATGGTTTTGTATGTAGTGGTTATTTATGTGGGGAGCACAGGGAGAAGCAGGGCCAAAGTGCACCAGCTTTCACAGAGAAAGGGCCTGGAGAAGCAAGCCCAAGAATTACTTCATTTCTAGACAATGCTGGGTGTTAACCTCCAGACAAGTCAGCCTCTGGAATATCACAGGGCAACAAGGATGAGAGCTGACTTTAAAAAAGGTCAGAATTGCTTCCAGATACATAGCTGGTTGTGTAGATTGAACAGATCAGGATCAAGCAATTATAAAGTTCATCTAATATTTTCATTGTTCCTGAAGACAGCTTTTTGACAGACTAACCATTGTCCATTACCAACTACAAAATGCCACGCTCATTTTTGGCCTTGTCAGCAAAACCAGCTTTCTTACTGGTGAAAATTCCATCTTGAGAGAGTGGCAGCAGGAATGCAGCTTCCTAAGCAGAGCAAGAGTCCTTCATGATGCAGAAAGTGGCTCTGCTAGCTTGAAAAGGACTTGCAGGATACAGAGCCAAAACACCATTTCAAGTGGTGCAAATGAAGAAACCTCAACACTTTTCCCACAGATTATATCAAGACTTTTTCCTCGAAAGGAAGTGAGACACATGGAAAAGAAATCCTAACTTCATGATTTAATCCTTTCTAGTGCCATCCACATGCCCTGTAGATATCAGCATTGGTCATTCAAAGAAAGTGAATTTAATTTTTTTTCCACAGCTAAGGTGCCACACCCATGGAGTCAATCATGAGAGGATTGAACATTAGGGAGGTGATCCTGGATTTCCAGAACTGAGAAGAAACACCATCACCCTTCTCAATCAAGCAGAAATGTGTGCAAGCACTGGGAGGGCCAACCCTTACATTGTTATAACACAATACAGGGTAGTGCAGCAAACCATGGGTGTGACCCTGTGTTAACAACTGCATGCACAATAGGCAGAACAACTATTAATAGCTACTTACTGCTAAGGGCTGGACAGCACTTACAGGGAGTATTTTAGCTGATGAAACATGAAAAGCATTTAGAGCTTAAGAATAAGAAAGGCAAAACACCATTCAAAACAGACTGGGAAAGTAGGATCAGGAGAGAATAACAAGCATATTGCTGTCCAGCCTCAAGGCTTCTGCCTGCCTGGGGGCCTGGCCTTCTGCTCAGCCTTCAGTGAGAATCCAAGTATTTTTAATAATCTTTAGCTAGAAGAAGAAATAGTTCTTGTGGAGCCCTGCTGTCATTTCCATAGCTGTACCTGCTCTCTGTGCTCACATGCATCTATGAAGAACAGTAAAATCTTGAACAAGAAACCCAAATCTCAAAAAAAGACTGACCGAAAAACCCCAAAATATTTTCACATCAAATAGTCTTCAAAGTTTGCCATGGGATGGAGGGTAAGAAGTTTAGCACAAGTTGCTGTTTGAGAAAACTACAACATAGGTATTTTGCATCAAGTCAGCATTCAGTTGGAAGTTACCTCCCTGGAAGTTACCTCCCTTCATCCTTTTACATTAAGAATTCCTTGTAATCCACCTGGAAGTTTAACACCTAGGTGAGAACAGTTCTAAGAGGGACCCAAAATTATACCCCCATCACATGAAGTATGTCAATTTGTACCTTGAGCTGTTGATCAAATAGTAAATACTTAGTTTCAGGAGGAACAAGACATATAACTGATTCAGAAATAATTTCAGCATGCAGGCAATAAATACTCCTTAACTTTGAAGGTTTATCCTTGAGGAATCCATTGCAATTTAAAAATTAGTGTGCTCTTCAAAGTGGAGAAAACTATCTTGGAAAAAATCCAGCTTCATCTACTAAAAATTCCTCTGCTTTAGCCAAGAAATGTATGTTTTTCTGTCACTGAAGATCACACATTCAAGACTACCCAGGCTGCTGTAAACATCAGATCAGCTCTGTGTTTCTGTTCTCCAGCTCCAGGGGACTGCTGAATGCACCACATTTGAGAAGAGATTTTACTGTATGGCTAAGTTTGCTCACTCCAGAATGCACTGAGCCAAATTCCCATTCCAATGGGAATTCTGCCAAGTGCCAACTGCTTACAGTACAGCCCCAAGAGCTTTCAATTCTCACAATACTCCTCTCCTCAAAGCAACTTCACATCCAAGGAGTAGTGGCACACACATTTCCCAAGAGAAGGACAAATATGCAGGCTAACCCTTAGTCAACAAATCCACCACCAAGTATGTTCCCTTCCTATCAAGCTCTGCTCTTTCACACGATTACTGTCCAACATTCACACTCACCTAGAAACAATTTTGTTTTCAAGGGCAAACAGAAGATCTGTTAATAATTGAATAACTTAGCTTTATACTTACTCTGCATTTTGATAAACTTCTACTGAGATATTAAGTCCTTCCAATTCTTCCTTTAAGATCTGCAGGTCTGAGTTGACAAAACTGAGTTCCAGCAGTACTTGCTCTCGTACTTTGTTGTTGGTGGTTGCTCTGTAGAGACACATCAATGTTTTATTGCTCAGGAAAAGGTTTTCTGCAAGCCTGGCTGACCCCCTTCAACCTCCAATGCAAGCATTCTCAGCATTTTTAAGATTTCTTTTTATCTCCTTAACAGATGATACAAGATCTCATGTTTCAGAATTTATTAGGTTTTTCTGTCAAGAGAGTGCCTGGGATAGTTTCCAGATAATAGCATGCAGCCACAGAAAATATCCTATAATGTAGATTTTCCATGTATGATTAAGAGTTTCAGATTATTTATTTTCAGATACATTAATCAACAACACTAAAACATCTTAATCAGAATCAGTGTCCTATTTTCAGATTATGTGATTTTTTTTTTCCTATGTAGAAGATAGGTGAGTGGAGGTGAGAGGAGTCAGGAGACATTCTTCAACAGAGACTTCCCACCTTATAAAGATTTTTTGAGACTTCTGATTTTAAGAATGAAAGAAAATAACTTTCCCTCAGAAGTTATTACAGAAAGAAATATCTTTCAACCAGATCTTTTTAATACAAGACAATTTTCTCTATAATTTGGTTTTGTTGGATGCAAGTATGATTTTGTTTGCTTGTTTTCTTTACCATTTATGTATTTAAATGGCAACACTTTGAACTACAAGCACAATGAATGTTAGCATTTAACACCCCCTGAGCATTTCTTTGTGATTACTTATTTGTGTATTTATATCACAATTTCTAATCTAAGTCTCCACACTGACAATTTCATTACAATATTACTCTATTCAAGATACTTAAATCACCTGTATCTATAAATCCACAAGTATGAGGTTAAGGTAAAAGGTATCCATGATTAAGATACTGTACCTTTGTATTAGAGGCTGAATCTGAAGACAAGAACAAGCTTAAATTTACAGCATTTTGCATTTACCTTTATTTCAAGACAAAGTTCACCTTCATAAATATTTATGAACAACCATCTCATAAATCTAGGCTCCACTTGGAGCAGTTCTCCAGTTTTATGGAGCACCTTGATGAAGAACTAATAATTCCAAGATTAAAATTCTAATTTTGTTTTTCATATTATATATTAGTTATCTGTGATTTTTCTATGCTGTACTTTAGACAATACTTTGGATTGCTTAAATTAAGCAATGTTAACCTCTGTTGCCTTGATAAACCAAACAGGATACAAACATATGGTGGGGTGGATCTTCCTTGATAAAGGCAGCACCCCACAGATAAATGGGAAGTTCTGATGCCACAAGCACTTTAATTGTGATGTATTAAGGCTCCATGCCTGGTCTGGCTTACCATCCTCCCCAGGAGGGATTCTAATATCTTTGTAAGAAACCCCAAAATTCTATCCAAACTGATTTCTCTATTTGCTCTATGGCTGTGAACATCCATGTCAATTTAATTTGATGACCTTTTCATGTTTTTTACGCTGTAGACATACTTTTGAGTAACAACCAGTGAAAGACAGCTACAGGGGCAATGTGATATTGTCAAGATTCATAACTCTACACTGAATTTAATTTTAATTTCCAATAAAAAGGAGAGAGTGACTTTCAGAAACTCTAAAAACCAAAGTCTTTGCACTATGTGGATCATGTGCTTCAAGCCTAGTGCTTACTTTCAGCCAAAAGTAAAGAAACCTGAATTTCCAGATTTTTCTCAGTTTCTACTTCAGGAAGCTTCTTGTGGACAGCAATTGGTTTGTTTCCTTTAGAACTTGATGAAATTCAAATAGAAACTGCAAACATAAAGCTTGTTTACATTTTTCCTTAGGAGACTGTAGACACAACTAATCCTGTGAACTGTCTGGTGGTCAGGTTACTTATAAAATTGTTTCTTTCAAAGAACTAGCAAGTTTTAATAGTTCAACAGGTGTCAATTCATTTTAGATTTCTAAAATCTTAAACATAAATCTGTTCCTCTTAGGTAGATTTAGTTCCCACTCCTGTAAATAGCAACTTCATCATTTCAGCAGTTAATACTGGCAGCAGAAACTGAACTTTAGGATATCTGGGTTAAATGCTACCAGTTTCCACATTAGATATTACTCATCTCTTTAGCCCTTCCCAAACACTCCTGAATCAACAGGCAGTAACATTAACTGAATGAAGCATTCTGCTTCAAAAACAGGTATAATAATTTTGCTAGCCATACAAAAAGCAGTAAAATTCTAAGTCTCACTCCTTAAATTAATTACCAGAAAACAAAGCACATTTAAGCCAGTCACAGAGGCTAAAACTATTTAAGTTTCCAACCTGTCACATCTCTTGCAGGAGTGGAGATAAAAGCAGGTAACAGACAACAGGCAACCCATTGATTAATGGCAAGTTTAAGAAAATTTAATTTATCCAAGCATTTTCACTTCTTTAAGTATATTTACTAGATTTTGTTTTTGAAGACCCATTGTTGCTCCAGTTGCAGAGAAACAGACGCTACAGGAAACTACTGCAGATGAGAATTGGGATAATTTTCAGCTCTTCTGTGCAAGATTGGAAATCTACAGGCTGTTTATCAAAGAGTTAATCACAGGGTCAACATCAGGCTATTCCTATGGGGACAGCCACATATGAAAACATCTAACAAAATGTAATAGATGAAGTCACCTCTAACTGCAGGAGAATTTGGAGGCAGCTGGTGGTAACCCAGCTCAAACTAGATGTGTGCTACCCTGCTACTCCTGTACATTATTACAGGGAGTAGAGAAGGCAATGGATGGTCCTTTCTACTTGGGAGCACAGAACTAAAGGATCTTGGAAAAAGCCAACAGCAGAGAGGCAATACCTTAATTTGATTTGAGAGTAAAAGGGACTCATTACAATATTCAGCAAGGTTCACTTGCCATTATCACTAGCAATAAAGCAGAACAAAGAGAGCAACCTAAGAAAGTCTAACATTCAGTTTATTTACAACAATATAGTACTGGAAAGAGCACTTGAAAGCAAATAATGGCTCTGTAGAGCTGCAGCTTGAAAAAAATTCAGGGAGATTCACAAATAATTCTACACTAAGAGATGCAGCATGTTTGGGGGAAAAAAAGACATAATACAATAGCTAAGAGACTTCTACAAAATTAAATTAAACAATTGTTGCTTGGGCAAGAAAACCAAGAAACCATGAGATATACCTTAGAAGATTTTCAGCACCAGCTCTCATTCTCACTGCTCTTAAGATCTGTTGGTTTAGAACAGCTCTTTGATTTTGCAGTTTGCTTCGTCCAGTCTCAGCAAGAGGATTACATCCCTAGAATTAAGAAAATAAGTTTGTTGTTGCTGTTAGAAGAAACTTCAGAGGAAGTAACACTGAATTTAAATGAACTTTCATTTAGATTCAATGTTAAAGGCATAGGGTCTGTATGAATACATACTAGCTACCTTGACAGCAATGATGATCTGACATTAACAACAGTATTTCTTGTCTCAAACTTCGTCATTAGAACCAAAAGAGACCATAACCGCAGTACATTTTAACATCAAAATTCAAACAGAAAATATCTGTTTTAAACCTTAAGAACACATGTGAGCCAGTCTCTTCTCCCCTAAAAATATTTTCAAGATATTTTGCAAATACAGCCAAATTTGACAGAATGTTCTAAAGTTTGTAGGATTTTATGAAAATAGTATCTGGCAAGACAGCAACTCCTATCAAAGCTTCTGCTTAACCCCTGTAAAATATCAGAGCTCCAATCTGGGATATATGCAGCCTTGAAATACAACTCTGTCCAAAACAGACTGTGGTGCTCAAAGTTTGGGCTCAAAAATCTGCTCTCACTTTTAGGATCCCTGATTTTTCCTTCTGGTGGCTCAGACCTTCACTACAACTCCTCCTTCCCCTCCTTCTCTCTTCACACCTCAAACTTACCAAAATAGAGCTTAACAGGGCAAAATGATTACACTGTCAGACTCTTATCAAATCAGGCTCTTAAAGAGTGAAGTGTGAAATCCAGAATGCACAAGAATGCTCCCGTGTGTGTGCATACCTTACACAAGTACCAGACTCAAACTGCTGAAACCTGTGTTTGAGCAGGGCTGAGCCATTGTGTTCTGAGCACTGATAAGCTAAAACTACTACAGATGAATAGCACTGCATGTTTGTCCTTTTTTGTTTAAGGGAAACACGATTTTAATACCTTTTTAAAATAGAAATTTCCCTTACACAATTTATTCTTTGCTTCTGCCACCCATTTTTTAAAAAGTATCAAATGCTTTTGAATCTTAATACTCAAGAGTATGCCAGCACATCCCTGCAGCCTTAACTAACAATTTTGAAGCAAATAACATCACTTTTTCAAGGCTTACCCTTAAGTGAAGAATTTTGAGTGGCCTCACTGGGTACCATTACAAAGCTTATCAGAGTCCTGCTGTATTGTCTGCTACACAAGAAAGAGGCTCAGACCTCTCTAAGTCTTCTTTCAACTACTCCAGCCACTAAATTATGCACTATTTTGGACCACTCCCTCTTAGCTTTGACTAGAAAAAATTAATTTTCATATAAGAGCATTTAAAAATCTATTAACAAGCTCTAATTATTAGTGGTAAAGCAGTGACATACCAGCAAAACAAAACTGAGTATTTAAACAGAACATGACATTCTGATCATGAAGTTCAGTTCTTGTTTTTGTTGTCAAGTAAAAGCAAATTGACTTAACAGAGAAATGAGCTGATGAAACCAATTCCTCTAGTTCAACTGAGAAGGCACATAGCCCAATAATATTAATTCTAGATATCTAGTTTGAAAAGCTTGTAATAAATAGGTCAAATGACAGGGAGCTTGTGCAAACATCTTCAGAAGCACCATTTGCTGTGTAAAAACCACACCACATTGAATTACTTCAAAAACCACACCGCACTTAATTACTGCACTGAAATGTTTCTGCATTGAAATACCCCTCACAGCACAAGCCCACAGCTCTCTTCATTGAGGAAGCTCTCACAGCAAGCTTGACACATCATGTCATAGCCCAGTTGTTTAGCAGTGGGGGCCACAGAAGTGGTTTCTGTGAGAAGCTTCTAGAAGCTTCCACCGTGTCTGACAGAGCCAATCTCTGATGGCTCTGAAGGTGGACACGCTGCTGACTCAGTCAGAGAGGCTGGCAATGCCTCTGAGATGCCACATTTAGGAAGAAAATCAAAACAGTGCACACAGGGTTTTCCCCAGGGATGGTGAGGTGCTGTGGGCACCATCTCAGTGCAGCTCAAGTCAGGTCCTGCCTGCCTGGCCACTCCAGGCCAGCAGTAGAAACACGGTGAGCAATTCTGACAGGGAACCTGGACAAAATCAACTTCTCAGCACGGCAGAATGTAGTGGGATAGAATATAAGAAAATAAAACTAGTGTGGAAAGTAATCTTACCCCTAAGGAGGTGCAGCTGGGCCAATTATCAGAGATTAGGATCAGGCCTGACTTTAACAGGCCACAGCTGTAAGCAATGAGAAGAAGAGTGCTATAAAAGAGTGGGGGTGGCTGAGTGAGTTGGGAACTAGATTCAGTGCCTGCTCTGTGAAGGAGAAAGAGTCAGTGTGCTGAGGAGATGCCCATGAGAAACACCAAGAGGGTATGGAACTTTTGTGATAAGGGGACAACAGTATGGAACCCCTGCAGTAAGATGACAACAATGGGATCCTGCAGGAATCTTTGAATTGGTGGAATTTCTTGTCAATGGTACCTACAAGCAGCAGTTTATCTTCTAGTCAGAGAAGAGGAGGAAGCAAGGGCATGTGAGGGAAAATGATGTGGTGACACCAAGGTCAGTGGGAAAGAAAGAAGAAAAGAGGTGTTGGAAGTGTCAGAGCTGAACTCCTCTGGCAGCTGTGGTGAGGACCATGGTGAAACAAACTGTCCCCCTGTAACACATGAAGTGCACAGGGGATGCAGAGATCCACTGGAGCTCATGGGAAAAGCACTCAGGCCTGAGTGGGTGGGTGCCAGAGGAAGCTGTGATCCAGTGAGAGACCAGAATAGAGAGAGGGCCCTTGCTCCCAAGCTAGAGCAGCCAGTCTTTAGAGAAGTGCACCCTGTGGATGAGCAACCCACACCACAACAGTTCTGGGAGGACTCTTTCCCTGCGGGAAGGACCCCACAGCACAGCACAACAAAGACTCCTGTCCCTGAGTGAACAGCAGAAGATCTCAGGTGCTGAACTGACCAAAACCCCACACCCTGTCTCCCTACACTGCTGGTGGGAATCGGGGAGAGGCTGCAGGGAAAAAAGATGTTTTAAAGGATTATTTTACTTGTCATTATCCTCCTCTGACTCTGCTAATAATAAATTTACTTTGTGCCTTTAAATTTGAACTTGTTTTGCCCTTAAAGTGTTTTCTCCCAATCCTCATCTCAACTCATAAGCCCTTGGTTAATGTTTTTTCAATCCCTCTCCTCTGCCCAGCTGAGAGCAAGAGAGGATGAGCAAATGAGACTTTCATGGGTGCCTGGTGTTTGGCCAGTGTCAAACCACAATACACACAGAAGATGAACTTTTTACTGGAGGGAACACACATATGCAGCAAACTCATTCATTCACCTCAGATTAGAAGCAGTGCTTTAACTACCACGTACTCCATGCTCCTTTACACACAATTATACATAAAGACATAAGCAATGCACACTTTAGTGTATAACATGGTCTTGTAGCCACAAGCTGCTGTCTGCTCTTAGTCTGGTTCTTTTTCTGGGATGAAGCTGTTCTTCCTTCATTTTGTGTTGTATGGTCTTTTCTACTACTGCTATTCAAAGCTTTTTCTCCTTCCATTCTATCCATGCCATTTTTCATTTGAACCTCACCAATTATTTCCTCTTGCTCTTGCATTCATTTTGAGTATTTAATTCTCATCTTAGACATGTTATCTCCATATTTGTGCACAGGCATTTCCTTCCAACTTGTTTCTTGACCACTTATTTCAAGCATCCTCCTAAACTATATCCTTGCCTTGCCCTTAATTTTTTCTGTAAAGCTGCAGCTTCCTCCCAGAACTCCCTGGCCCATTCTGTGTGCCAAACAAGTTTGATGACACCATTCAAATACTTCTTCAGAAATTTTTCAGGAAGATCAACTGCCTGATTCCCACAGCCCATGAAGCTTGTAGAGGTGATCTCTTCATTTTAATGAAATTTTGATCAAGCTCCCACTGAACAATGAGTACAAAAGTGCAGCGATCTGAAACTCTCTGCAAAGAGAAAGTGTAAGAGAAGTTTCCCTCTATTCCAGGTCCCCAGGCACAATTCTCTACAGGAAGGAAACCAACCTAGGCCTGACAGACCAAGGTATCTGTATAACCTCCAGTGTGCCTGCAAGTGTGACAGGTTTGATCAGAGGCTTCGCATGGATAGAGGAGTCTGTTTTCAGGATATGCTCACCTGTTTGAGCATATGGCTCCCATTAACTTCACAAAGCCTATAAGGAATTAATATTTTATTTTTTGGAAATGTTGCTCTTTACATCTCCTGCACAGGGGATGAAGACATTCAGCTAGTTTGTGTTCATTTGCAGGCTTAAACTCTTAATTGTAATCAAGCTGCCATAAAACTGATGGGTGGTGTGGGAAATGGATTTCTAGAAAATTCTCCAAGCCTGACAGAAGGCTCACATAGTGTGCATCCGTATGCAGACTTTGAGATAAGAAACACTGACTCAGAAATGCCATAGAATAGGACTGACATGGTTGAGAGAGAAATGGAACAAGAAACAAGTGTCGCAAGATTAAGACTAGATACCTTAGAGAAATTGAACTATGAAAAATGCATTATAGTAAGACCCATGAGAAGTAATTTTAGATGATTGCCTTTAAAGCATTTACAGCATAGTGTAGCAAAAAATAAGCCAAGAAATGCTTCTAATGTATTGTAATTAAGAAATAACTTCTGATTGTGGTGGTGTGAATTGTAACATCTGGACTGTCTCACCCTTCACATGAGACTGAAAATAGAAGTTTTTAAAATGCCTCTCAGTTACCTCATCTCTAAGTCAAAAAAGAGCTTAATCTGACAAAGGTAGAAGTCTATGTAGAGAACAATGAAAATAACCAATATCTGAAAAAAACCCTCAAGAAATGCAGTCTGGGAAAGACACTCCCTTGTGTAAAGCACAAATTCTGTATACTAAAAAGTTTTTTAGCAAACAGGTCCAAGCAAGTGCTTAGTTTTGTCTTCCTCCATGCAGAAGATCCCTTTCCCAAACAACATTTCTACATAGTTCACATCAGAAGTCTAGTCATGATAAATGCAAAAATCATGACTGTTTGCCAAACA